AGAGAAGGAAGAGGAATTCGAAAATACCCGCAAGAACCACCAACGCGCTCTCGATTCCATGCAAGCCTCCCTCGAAGCCGAAGCCAAGGGTAAGGCTGAGGCCCTGCGCATGAAGAAGAAGTTGGAAGCCGACATCAACGAGCTGGAAATTGCTCTGGATCATGCCAACAAGGTATGCTCTATAAAAAATAAAGACAAACGTAAGCAAACAAATATTAACAATATTTTTTTTCTTTTTTTTTTTGAAATTAACAAAACCAATTAGGCTAACGCCGAGGCCCAAAAGAACATCAAACGCTACCAGCAACAACTTAAGGACATCCAAACCGCCCTTGAAGAAGAACAGAGAGCCCGTGATGATGCTCGCGAACAATTGGGTATCTCCGAACGTCGTGCCAACGCTCTGCAAAACGAACTCGAAGAATCCCGCACATTGCTTGAGCAAGCTGATCGCGGCCGTCGCCAAGCCGAACAGGAATTGGCCGATGCCCACGAGCAACTCAACGAAGTTTCCGCCCAGAACGCTTCTATCTCTGCTGCCAAGCGGAAGTTGGAATCCGAACTGCAAACACTCCACTCCGATTTGGATGAACTTCTAAATGAAGCCAAGAACTCCGAAGAGAAGGCCAAGAAGGCTATGGTTGATGCTGCCCGTCTCGCCGATGAACTCCGTGCCGAACAAGATCACGCACAAACCCAAGAGAAACTCCGCAAAGCCTTGGAACAACAAATCAAGGAATTGCAAGTTCGTTTGGATGAGGCTGAGGCCAACGCACTGAAGGGTGGCAAGAAGGCTATCCAAAAATTGGAACAACGTGTCCGCGAATTGGAGAACGAATTGGATGGTGAACAAAGAAGACACGCCGATGCCCAGAAGAATCTCCGCAAATCTGAGCGTCGCATCAAGGAATTGAGCTTCCAATCCGAGGAAGACCGCAAGAACCACGAACGCATGCAAGACTTGGTTGACAAACTGCAACAGAAGATCAAGACCTACAAGAGGCAAATTGAAGAAGCCGAAGAAATCGCTGCCCTCAACTTGGCCAAATTCCGTAAGGCACAACAAGAACTCGAAGAAGCCGAGGAACGCGCTGACTTGGCCGAACAGGCTATCAGCAAATTCCGCGCCAAGGGTCGTGCCGGCTCAGTTGGACGTGGTGCCAGCCCAGCGGTAAGTCTTCACACTTAGCACTGCTAAATTTTTTATTATAAAAGAACTTTTTTATTTAACTTTTTTACTCAAATCTGCTTCAAACAAATTTATTTTGCTCATTTCTTTTTGATTTCGTTTTCATAATTTTATTGATCTATTTATTTATTATTATTATTCTTCCTTACGACTCATGCGCTTGATTAGAATTAAATACGGCACAGCCAATGGCCCAACAATATATAGTGGTGGCGGTGTCATCAAACCATAAAACATGAGAAACAAATGCAAAGAGAATTGTAGTTCATAAGCAGCAAACCAAAAAAAAAAAAGAAAAAATAACTAAAATAATAAACAAAAAATGCGCATTCAATTTATTTTTCATCATCACAAAACATGATAGAAAAGTTTAGTTGAATCAGACATCGTTACCTCGAAGCTAAAACAAAAAACAAAAAATCATCTTAAAATCTGTAAAAAAAAAAAAAATTTTAAAATAACAAAAATCTTAAAAACTGTGCTTTTTTATTATTATATATGTATGTGTAAACTGTAGCCGAAAGCGTCAAAGGGCGACCGCCAGAGTGCGCTGGACCAATAATTACTTCTTATTACATTTGTAAGTGATTGAATGATATTCGTTATACAATACGACCTTTACTCGCTCCCCGTAAACATAAATAAAAACCGTGCTCCCCGCAAGAGCAATGGCACAGTCATACACACACATACGTAGTCTCATTCAGAATCAAATCATTCTCATCAAATAAATTCGATCGCACACCAATCGATATAATCACGCACGCACGCACGCAAGCACGCACTCACGGGCATATACATATCTACATATGTACCTATCCATGGATGTGCCAATTACCGTATTTGAACTTCATGCAATGCATAAGATTACACACGTAATGGTTTTACCCTAACCAACTCCACCGAAATTGTTGTCCCAGCATTATGTTTTACTACAATATTTATGCGATATTATCAATTCACTTAATGTTTGTTATTTTATTTATTTGCTATTTTCCTTTATTTCTTGTATATACTCATATTAAATAAATATCTCTCTCTCTCTCTCTTTCGTTGAACAGCCCCGAGCGATGTCCGTACGGCCACAACTCGACGGATTGGCTTTCCCACCAAGATTCGACCTTGCTCCAGAAAACGAATTCTAAATGCCATTTATATTCTTCGTTTTTAAAAACCATTATTTTAAAATAATATTTCATAATTATTTGTTATGTTTAATTTAAAAAATATTTACAATACTTTTTCTTTAATTAATTTAAATGAAATAAAGTATAATTCGAACGACGGGAGGAAAATGCACTTAGGCAAAAAATCTCTTAAAAATAAAAATACCAAAAAAAAAAATACAAAACAAAACAAAAACAAACAACAAACAATAAAACAATATTAAAAAAAAAAACACTAGCATAAGCTCACCCCAATGATGAAGTTATCGTATAGTTAGTTCAGTATGTACGAGTATGTTATTGTTGTTATGAAAATGCCAAGAAAATTTACTGCGATTCACAATAAGAAAGTCAGTCGAGCTAATGTTGTATTTAATTTTTGCTTTTATACAAATAATGACTTTTAACTAAAATAGATTTGAAGACGAAATGGCTACCACCAACAGTACTATTAGTGCACGAGTGAGAGTATTTATTTAATTTGAAAGCCGTTAATATTGTACGTAGTGCTTTAAGTGTGGAGAAGAAAGTGTAAACGAGTGCAACCGCAGGAGAGGAGTGCATTTTACACACACACACACATACATACATATTATCTATCATACAGACACATACATACACTCCCATTATGGCAGAGCTTATGTTTATTGTTAGTTTTTTTTTTAAATAATCTGAAAGTAATATTAAATTTAAAAAATAAAGTATACAAAAAAGGAACAAAATAAATGTAAATCAATAAAAACTAAAGGTGTTTTCATTTAATTTATTCTACTTCTTTATTGGCATAGGCACTGCCGAATAACCAACAGCGCGCCATATATATTATATATACCTTGTCTTCGCTTCTTTTCGTTGGAAAGACTAAGTGAAACTAGGTCGCTTTCCACCTGATCCTTCCAACGGAGTGGAGGTCTGCCTCCTTATCGAACACTTTCACAGGCCGAACGTTTTAATTCATTCCAACGAAATTACCCATTTTAACGACACTGTACACACTCGCACATATCCTCGTTCCATCGCCGTTTCTAAAGCGCAAAGGACTATAAAATGCTCACAAAACTTTTCTTTCGAATACTCCAGAGGCTGACAGCAGGACGGCGTAGAGGCATTACTTAAAATTGGACAAAGAGCTGGAGCGTGTCGATCCACTTTTTACGGCTCTTTTCCAAAATTGCCGTATAATGAATATCTGGTCAATGGCAAATTTACCAGGTCTAAAGCCACACTGTTAAGATCTAATCAGTTTGTTGAGAGTGATGCTCGATATAACTTTATATACGATATTGTGGAGGCTTATTCCACCTTGATTGGGGCAAACTATAGAGTCCACATTTTTACGTATTGGGCAGAACACATTTGGATTCCAATCGGTGAGCATGCTTTCATAATATTCTGCATAAAGTGGAAGCATGCACCTTATCAGTTCTTCGTCACCTCACTTGAATAGCTCGGTTCTCCATATGTGGTGTCGGTACGCATTGTCAATCAATTTCGTAATCGCGATCAAGCACTGCGTCCAATCTTCGATCAACATAATCGCCCGGCAGAGTGGGTCATTCTAGCAACCATGGATCGGTTTCATTCCACATTTACTATAGTGGATAAGGCGCCTCCTCAGATACGCCGTACAGTGCGCTTCAAAGACGATATTGCGGCTGTGAAGCATGGTATCAAAAAACACCCGAATGCGTCCATCCGTCATTGCCACAATTAGAGCTGTGCCCATTTAATTAATGAAAGCTTTTACGAAGGATCTTGGTTTATGGGCTTAAAAAATCCAACTCGTGCAAGGATATAAACTGATCGACCATCAAACGCGTCCCAGGATCGGTAAATGGGCCCAAAACCAGTTGGCCGATTTTCACAAGAAAAATTTGTTCAGCGATAAAGCACATTTTTGGTTGAATGGGTATATTAATAAACAAAATTGTCGCATCTGAGGTGATGATAATCCACAGACCAAAAAGTCGCTGTTTGGTATGTTATGTGGGCAGTTTTAATCTTTGACCGACATTTTTCAAAAAAAAAAAGCCGACCAAAATACTAGAATCAATAAGGAAAGCTATAAAGACATGATTAATGACCTGGCTGGCTATTTTCTGCTTGTCGACGCAGATAAACCCATGGGGATTCATGCCTTGGAGGAGAATATGCCGCACGAAATTTATGGGAGTGGTGGGAATCAATATTTTAACATTATCAACTCCCCCTTGTAATCTTGAAAGTTCAAAATTCGCTATAATGTCGAGACTGTTAGTCTATAGTTTAGAGAGATTACTCTGATTTCGTCTATTTCACACCAATAATTTTGATGTAAAAGACGTTCTACTATGAAGGACCGATTTTCGAAAATTTTGATAACGTCACGGAAATCATCGAAATCATCACCGGAATCTCCAAGAGCTTATTTGGCAGGATCTTATGCATCCATCCACCTTATGGTTTGGACCACTCACCAAACGATTATCAGCTGTTCTGTCTATGGCGAATGATTTGGCTGTTGCTGAATTAGCCTCAAGCAAAAGAGACCAGAGTTTCTATGGGAGAGGCATAATGTCATAACCTTTAAAATGGCAAAAGGGATTACTTTTTACTAGACCAATCTAGACCATACAATATACTTGATGGAAAACTAAAACCAACAATTTAATATTCGTTCCTTAAATTCAAGTGGATATATGTACATATATTCATATTTACACTAAAACTTAGTAGATAATCCAAATTTGTGCTATAAATATCTAAATTTAAGCAATCAATTACGCTTACATAGTATATATTTACAAGCATATTAAGATACATATTTAAAAAAAAAAGGTTTTACATTTAAACTCAAACACCACTTAGTCATCAGCTCCGGGCGGCTTGGTATTCGGTTCGGTGCGCAACAACTGCCTATGCTGACCAAGCAAGTGTACTAAATGATTGCATTCACGCAATTTACCCTTAAACTGGTCCAATGTCTCATAGAGAATCGGATAAAGTTGTGGTAGTATGCCGTGATCCAAAGTGGGAAACAAATGATGCAAGATGTGATCACCGAAATGAGTCAACACCAAGAACTGAGAACCCTTCAAATCGCCACGATCAATAATGGTATCCACTTGGAAGAGACCCCAATCACGATCTTCGCGATGAGCATCACCTTCATGATAAATCTCTGGATCGTGATGGGCAGCATTCAAACCGATAACGCAGAAAGCGAAACTGGCTATCATGGTAATGAAGAGCCATTGACGCAACGTTAAGAAGAGTGATAAATCCGAAAAGAGAAAAATCGCAAGTGGAATGCTTAGCGGTAAGCTATCGTGCCAATACATGACATTGTCATGACGCAGCGAGAAAATTATTCTGCAAGTACAAATGTATGTGTTAGTACATGTAATTTGATTTAATATATTTAAGTACTACCTGGTTATCTTTTGCAATGGAAAAGCGAGTGCGTAAAATACCGGTTCTGTGATAATTGAAAGATAACGCATTAACTTGCTCTTGATATGTGGATTTGGTACCCAGCAAAAGTACGGCTCAAACATTGACAATTCCAGATCAAAGTAGGAATTCGGATAGATGTGATGAGAGAGTGCATGAGAGACACGCCACGAGCAGAAGTTCATCAAGCTCAAATTGAACGCATACATGCGCCAGTTATCGCGTCTATGAAAGTAGTTATGAGAAACAATTGTGGTCCAGCAGAGTGCAGTGCCGGCCAAGGCTAAGCACACTAGACTGTTTAAGCGGGCGCTAAGTACAGCGAAAATAAAAATGGACGCTAGTAGTGAGAAGTGTATTAACTGTAAATTAAAAATAAATATAAAATTAAAAACTTTTTCCAATTATGAATTGCATTCAATATGATCATCGACTCACATCGCTCTTCCGCTGCGGTGATTTGTCAATGGTTTTCAGCTTCTCACGCACACGCTCGCGTAATGTCTTATAAAAGCCATCTTCGTGAAGTGTGAGTGTGTAAATGCGTGGATGCTTTGCATCTCGAACTTTGTATTTACTTAGCAATTTATGTGGTCCAGTGGCGATGTGATGGGCCTCAAATGCTTCGGTAATATCTGTACCCTGTAGGAAATTAAATAATATGCCATATTTTTTTATTGGAAGTACTCATGTTTGCTTTTTAATTTTCTTACCTTAGATTCGGTTAACCAAAATTCACCGCCAGGATGTTTTTTAATAAAATCTGTGAAGTCGTAAATTCCATCATAAATTCGCCACAAACCCTCAGCTTCGTCATCATTTTGTTTGCCCAAAAGCCAGCTATGGAGAGAAAATGTTATTATATAACCATTTCACATACAAATATATTTATAGATAATTAATTAAAGTAACATGCTCATTTGGAAGCCCCGGGTTCAAATCCTACTGTCGTACTAGCATCCAAAAATTTATATAAAATTAATTTAAATAAAAAATTAAGCTAAATTTTCTAATTGCAGCCGCTCGTCGGCAGGGAATGTCAAATCCGCCGAGTATATTCTTGATAAGAAATAAAAGCTCCTCATAAAAAACCATCAGCCGTTTGGAGGCGGCTTAGTATAAACTGTAAGTCCCTCCATTTGTTGGTTTGCGCCAATTATATATACATATATATTCTTTTTTTATGTGCTATATAGTGATGCGATCCGACCGATCCCGCCAAATGATTGTTTAAATATAGCATTGCATCATTGCACTAAGTCCGGTTGAAATATCTCAACACCTGAAGAGCTAGAAGCAGACGGTCTTGACTAAATCAACTCAACTCATTATTCTTATCCGATCGACATAAGTTTAATGAGTCCTTCTTTTCTCCCTCTGGTACTTACATACTTCGGACCAAAGTTAATTTACCATTTCATGTGCATAAAAGTTATCAAAATAAAAACTACTTAAGTGGGCTGCACACCGTTGTATTCAATAAAGAGCTGGTACGATGAGATTCCTCACATGGCAGTGGAGAGAAAAAATATTGCATAACTTGGACGCAGTACAGCTGAAATAGCGAGAGTGGAAGAGAGAATATGTACACCTTGAGATTATCGACATTCAGAGCAGCCTGATTGTACAAAGTTAAATCGCAGTCAAGATGGTGAACGTGAATACCCAATCAATGACGAAGCAGCAGACCATCCATCGCCCGACTATGAAGAAGCACCGCAACGTCCTAATAACTGGTTGACAACATCCGATAAATCGAGTAAATGGTTTTACGGGAGATTTATGGTATTTTGGTAATAACGAAAGCCACCGACGATCTAACGATGAATTCCTCGACTATACGTGCTTTTATTTCAGCTGAGCGGATGAAGAGGCAGCATTTACGCTTAATACATGATGTCCTCCGTGTGAGTGAATACACTCTGGCTTTGAAACTCTGCAATGTAGTACACGCTGCATTATATGGATCTCTACTTTGGTAAAATCATGAAATGAGGAATGACTTGGATCATTTCGCATCTCTAATTGGCGAAAAAAGAAGAAAAATATTGTGCTCCAAAAGTAAGTATAAAATTCCTACGACATCTTGTTGCCCCTTGTACCAAATATATATTTTTGGGCTTTGCACATTCGAGCACGGGGTATACCAGAATTTTAAAATTTCGTGCGCTTTGAGACTTCGAATGGTATATCGTTTTCTAGAAGACTACAAACGACCGTCGATCGGCACTTAAAGAAGTTACTGATGCATGATCATGACCTGATGTTTTTTTCCCAATTTCTTAAGTCTGGAACACATGACAGCAAAACTTCTACGAAATATATTTAGTTTTGAACAAAACCAACGTCGAAAGAAAGTTAATCTGATGTCGCTAAATGAGGTCAACGACATGGGTTTGGGGTTATGACCTCGAAAATAATGTTCTTTCCTCGCAATGAAAACATTACTTATGCTTGTTAGTGAATTTTTATCCAAAACCTAAATTGTAACGATACACTGGCCTCTATATTCGTGAGATTTTCCTATTTTCAAAAATAAATATTTTATGGTACAAATTAACTCGGTCCGTTCTGAAAAGATTGCTTCGCCGCTCAGTTGTGGTCGAGGTTGGAAGCGATTACCTATTTCATTGGAAATGTTTCCTATCTGTCAACAATAATTAATGAGCGTCTAAAGGATTTACGGAAAGTTTTGATTTTCTATTTAATCAATTGGACTGAAGCCCATCAAATGAATGTTTATGGTGAATTTGCGACAGAAACCAGGCAGAGAGTGCTTTCGCCGCTTCAAAAGTGCTGATTTGAACGCCGAAGACAAAGAACGTTCTGGCCAATCCAAAAAGTCTGCACCTGAGGAATCGGAGGCTTTGCTTTGATGTTTTTGAAGTATGTTTTGCGTGAAAAATGACCAGTAACGACCGAGAAACATGGCAACGCGCGGCCAATGATTGAATCGAGGACAGAGAGCTGTAATTTTTGAGAGATGCTTTTCAAAATTTACCAAAGAGATGGGAGAAGTAGTCGCTTCCGAAGGAGAATACTTTATACTTTTTTCAGTAAAAAAAATACACTTTTATGAACACGAAAAATCAGGATCGTAGTTGACATTGAAAACGTATTGACATTGAAACGTATCGGGGATATAAAGAAGCAAATAACGTGAATGTAAACTAAAAAATAATTATTTTGTTAAAAAAAAAAACATCTTTTTGCGCAAAAATTTGAACACGATTTTCGTTAAACAAATTCAAATCAATCTAAGGTAGTTTTCAAATCGAACTTTGAATAAATACTAGCGAGAATACGCCAGCATTAATAAAAATAAATTTAGAAAATAATTAAATAATAATTTCATTACATTTGGTGTAAACTTGTTATCAAATTGAGATTATTACAAATAAATATATTCATAAACTAGTAAAAAATATGTAAATATGTATGCATCTACAAATAGCAGGGCTGAACTGATGTGTCATTATCTAATGACAGGCAAATACTATTTGAAATACGTAGTAAGTCTATATATACGAGAACTTACTATACGTACATACGAGTATAGTAAATAGCGAAAGAATTAACGATAATAATTTGTATTTGCTTAATTTACGAGCTCAGAAAAATCCTACTATTTTGGCTCAAATATTTACCGAGCAAAAACAAAAATCCATAATAAATATGTTATATTTGCGATTAACAATCAGCAGGCAAAGTTCACACGCGGAGGGCATATCTATCTCATCTAAAAGTTACGTTGAAATCAAAACACGCTTAGCACTGTCGGTATCATGATTTAGGGATTATATGGGTTTCAAAGCTTCAAAAAATCGATTTTTCTGATCGTTATATTAATTACTATAACATCTCGAGAATATTACCCTACATTTTTAAGTCAATACAAATAAAAGTTTCTGAGCTACATCCTTGGGAAGGTGCGCGTTCAAAGGCAGGTAGGCTCAGGATCTCAACGCGTTTTTCTCGAAACTGTGTTTTCAAAGGTTCGCGAAAACCACTCAAACCAATCTTCATGAAATTTTACACAGGTCTTTGAGACAAAAATAACGATGGATGGAATGAGGGTTTTTTTTCAATCATAACTTAAAAAAGAAATCTTGAATAAATTTTACCCAAATTTGCGCTTTTTGTAAAGAAAAAATTTTTATTTTCCTTCGTCCGATTTTAAGTTTACGTTTATTAATTTATTTATAAAAGACGATATTTATGTTTTTCACTTGATATGATCACGTCGTCAGTTCTACCGTGAACGCAAATATACCTTTTTCCGAGGGTCAACAGAAATGACGTCACAATGGCGGAGCTATGAACATTTTCCTTTGAAAATTTGTAGACATTCTTTTTCAAAAATTTATAATGAAAACAGTAAATATCTGGGAAAAAAATTAATTTTTTATATAAAAAAATTGTTGCAAATAGCCCTTTTACTCCTGAATATATCCACGTCACCCTTTAAGCATGTGAGAGCAGAGAGAGGGGTCTGAATTGAATTTTGTCGATACTTCAAACAGTATATTAAATAAAATATTTTTTCATATTTTTAAATAAATGGCAGATATATTGTATTGTATATATAGACAAATGAAATCATAGCGGTTTTTTGTATTTTTTTAAATATTGTATTTTTTTTTTGTTTATATAATAAATATGTATACAAGGTGGCTTATGCAATTAAGTATAAATAAACAAATTTGCTTTGAAAATATTATATAAAAAACAGCAAATATTTTTGCATAGCATTACATTGTCATTCTGTCTTTAATTATTAATTGTCTACAATATATGTATATTGAAAAGGATATATCGTGAAAAGAAGACGGTCCACAAATAATTATGGAATATGATTATAATTGTTAATATATAACATTTTAATTATCCTAATATGACAACCACTTCTTTGCTAAATAAATAATGAATATCGCGGGCACCTCAAGCCCAAAATAAATCAGAGATCAGTCACTTTACGAGAAAGACGAAAGTTAAGTATCTCAGGGAAACTGTTGAAAAAAATTAAGCTTCGAAGAACATGTTGAAATACGTGTCAGTAAAACACTCCGAATTTGAAATATTTGCAATAGATCTATTGCACCAAAATGACGCCTACGACATCACATCTTGCATTGGCTTTACACAAACGCCGTTGGTCACCCATATTAGCATATGGAGTACTAGTGTTGTGGCCAACAATAAAGAAGAAGTGCCGCAGTAAACCTTTGCAATAGGTACAACTTTCCTGTCTACTTGGTATAGTAAGCGCGATGAGGCCTACCTCAATTAAGGTTCTAAAAGTCATCCTTGGAATAAGGCGAGTTAAAAAAAACTTCGTCAAAAAATCATCTAAGAGATTGAGTTTGTTGGTTTTACACACCTGTATATAAATGAACGTTGCCACCAAAAATCATCGAAATCGGAGGACTATATCATATACCCCTCCCAACGAATTTTTTAAATATGAGATTGTATGGGTCTGACAAAACAACTCACTGACGAGCTCGTCCAGGACGTTCAAAGTAAAATATTTCTACTGTAACTGTAAGTGTGCTGGAACAGCCATTTCATGTATTTCTTCTACCCGGATTTCGCATGAAGTAAGCCGAATTGGCGGCTCCGAGTGTATTTCTGACATGATATAAAGCTCCTCATAAAAAAACCATCAGCCGTTCGGAGGCGGCTTAGTATAAACTGTAGATCCCTCCAGTGAAGAAGGAGCTCGGCAGAAAATCGCTTCAGCGGTTACAAAGGCGCCAATTATATATATAAGACAGAAGCCTCATGAGACTCCGATGCGATTTCGCTTCGCTTAATGAGCTGAAGATCGAACAAAAAACATCTTTTCCTATCGAGCTCATTTTCGCCTACCTTAACAGGAAATGGTAGTAGACGGAATGGGCTACCAGTCGCAACAGCCATTACAATAAAGTGCTATTTTATCATTAAGCAGAAGGTTAAGGCATTACAATAATGACAAAAATCATTGAAAATATTTGTCTGTTTTAAAATTTCCCTGCAGACTCGCATTGAAATCGCTGTATTCATGCTCCAACGTTCAGAATCGCATAAATTTCTGTGAATTGAATCCGAGTGCGCTGATGTGAACGAATTGAAAAGGAAAGCGATACGATTTTTCCAATGTGTTAGTTTTTGCTCACTGAATGTTTTGTGAAAATGGAAGCACGGCTGTAAATTTATCTCAAAATTCAATGAATTGGTCCACAAATCACGACATTCTCCACATAACTAACAGACACTGTCGTCGATTTTTTTAAGGTCCGCCACAATTTAATGATATAATATTTTTTGACTTCTTTTAAATGTTAAATATTTTTCTATTACCTTGTATACACACACACACACACACATACACAAAACACTTACCCTTTAGCTGTAATTAGACTTGAATTTCTATAAGAAGGAAACTTTGTTGCTATTCCCGACTTTTTCCACGTTTCTATCACCATTTTACACGGACCTTAAAATATATAATATGTATGTATAAGGATATCCCTGCGGCGGGAGTATGCAGGATTATCAATCACTCAATAATAATAAATACGAAATGCGCGACACTTCTAGCAGTCCGTTGCGAACGATCACGAATTTTTGTCCGATTAACACTGAATGCAAATTGAACTTACGTAAAGCATTTTATTTGAATTGTTTATATTCATATGTGTATTCATCAAATGCCGGGAAAATGACAAGCGATTTCTTATCAATGTTTTGAAAAAGTAAATGCATATATTGTACACATATATACCAATTTATGTATATACTTATTTATATTTTGTATATATGTACATATAGAATATAAAGTTATTAAGACAATATATTTATTATAATTGTCAGTCATATTTAACGTTATGTGAAGTCGTGGGACCTGGTCCTATCAGTAATAATTTGTTTTACGTACATATGTATAATGTTTTTTATATTTTTTGATTAGGAATAAATTTAATAATTGAAACTAAGTAGAATCTGCTGGAGTCTTAGTTTTGTCTTTCTTCAGAATGTTGAAAAAATCATTCGGAATTTTACCCAAGTCTCTTTGGGTGATACGAAAATATTTTTTAAATAAATTTTAATGTACATACAGCGGAGTGGAAAAATATTTCATACAAATTTCTCATACTCAGCTGCAGCGTCTGCTTTATGAATTCTATAATACTCAGCTTATCTATTAAATAATACATTGGTATTTCAGCAAACTGGAAATTACCACAAAATATCTATATATTAGGTCTAGTAGAAACGGAATCCATTATTTTTGCATTGTTAAAATTAGCGGACTTTTGCGCTGTTGCTCCATAATTGTTTGCCATTTTCAAGGTAATGTAATTACGTCTCTCTCATACTTATAACCCCTTGTCCTTATTGGCAAAAAACTGTGACAACCAATTTTCACAGGCTTCTTTTGAGGCCAATTGTTCACCAGCCAAATCATTCTACAATATATAAACAAAGATAGCTAACAGTAGATGCGAGACCCGAACTACAAAGATCCCGTAGCTTCTGGCGAGTCACTATCGATGTGTGTATGGTCTGGCAAAGCTGGCGATTGCTTACTTTAAACCGTCCAATTGCTGATAACACAGTTTAAGAGTAGATGATTCGTGGTTAATACCACGAAAAACAGAACAAAACCTTCCCGATCGTTAGCACTGAGTTGAAGAGATCGTTGTGCCCTTCGAACACGACCATTTACTTTTGCCGTTACTGTAAGTGATCCACTTTTCATCACCATATACCATCCATGAACGGGTAGAGTTTTTTGCGATTTAGCAGCGATATTCAGATGGTAGTTCGGCTCATGAGGTTTTTTCTCGTTAAAACAGGTGGCACCCACACATTGAGCTCTTTTGTGTATCCAGTCTTTTTCAAGTGGTTCCAAACAGTCTTTTGTGCTCTGTTCAGCTTCGAGGCTATCGAATTAGTGCGTAACAGTTAAACTTCTCGATCTCTATTATTTTATTGAAATTTTCGACAATAGGCTGTGTGGAACGTGGATCATCTATTTATAGCGTGTCCACCTTCATTCCAGCACGACAGAGTGAAGTGATCATCACCACTCACGCTATGTTTTATAGTACAAAAAATTATATTTCTAACGACGTCTATCAATAAAAGCATACTCTTCACTGCGAGAAGTGACTTTTTGTGGTATCGTATCGTATTTATAGCTGTTTTACACTTTTTAAACTGGAAGTGAATCGATCTATTTGAAAAAATATACATATTCATGATTCGTTCCTTGGGTCACTTTCTTTATTCGTTTCGGTGTCCCCATTTGAATGCTACGTAATTTTAATTAGCCAAAACTCTGAAACGTCATACGACTTGCAATTAAAAAATTACAGAGGAAGATAATAACAGAAATCACCGGAGGACCGTAGTGACCTTTCAGAGTTGAAGACGTCTTCATTGCTCGAATCCCTATCCCCTCGACCGATACTCTCTTTCAATTCAAGCGACTACAGTGCCCTGTACGACTATTGATTGCGAATCAAAATCAACAAAGCTCAAGGTTAGTCATTAGGATTTCGTGGTCTACATTTAGATACGGATTGCTTCCTAACACAATTGGAATTAAATTTCAAAAATCTAAGTAACGAAATGATAACAGTATTTGTTGGTTGCTTCAAGGAACTTTATAAGAATTTAATTTTTGTCGTTCATGTGCGCTCCACGTCCATGCTCGTGACTGTATATAATTTCAATTTAAACTTTTAGTGGGTTTTTGTAATATTAATGCTTGTTAATTATATTTTTACAATAAGCTTCATGGCAAAATATTTAATCTATTAGTTGGCGAACGTCTGAGGCCGGTGATTTGTTAATTTACTTAAATGTGAATGATTATTTTATGCCACACGCGGTTTATGAGGTTACACATGCTATATATGTATGTACATATAAAAATGATTATGAGGCAATCAGAGCCGAGTTTTGGGCACAAAATATTAAATTTTTTTAAGATAATAAAAAATATTGTCAATATTCGTGATTTTTAAATATAAATAAAATAATGCCAATAAGGCGACGCTCCCCAGATATTGGGCTAAAACCAGGCAAAGTTTGTATTTTTTTTTTTATTGTGGGAAAATGAAAAGGCGTACGAACTTCCGGTTTTGACTATTAAATTTGTTTATTATTTGAGACTTTAAAACCGCAAAAAAATAGTCGAAATTCGGAAATGACGGCAGCGAAATGGCACTTTCCTTCGGCCTTTGCGCGAAAAACTAGGGCCAACAACAATGCGTTCAAAGTTTTTTGAAACTTCGCAGCGTGCGTGAAATAAGTGTGTTCGAGAAGCTGCCATCTGAAAAATATTCATCGTATTGCAAAATCCTTTTAAACACATGCCAAAGAATGTAAAAATATTATTATACATTTTCTGGTAAGAATACCAAATGACGCTAACAAAAGCGCCGCCATTGGTGTATGTCTATGCTGAATTCAGCTTTTACAAAACTTCCGTACCGACCCAAAATACAGGGTGACCCATTTAATAAACTGGTCGAAAGTTAACGCGCGACCTATTAAGGCACTGGCATAAAAGCGAATAGAGCACCCAAATCAAATGAAAAGTTTTCTTTTAGGCAGCAGAGGAAGGGTAAGACCTCCACTCCGTTGGAGAGCGACCTGGTTTCACTTAGCATTTCCAACTCGCGCCAAGCACCGAAAGAAGATAAAAAGAATTGATTCGGCTTTAATCGTATAAGGGGTGCCAACGTCAATAAAGAAGAAGAAGGGGCGAACTCGAGCTCAATATTTTCTTTACTATCGTTGCTGTTCTTATTTTTTTTAAATGTTAAACTTTTGTAGTAGTTTTTAAGTAAGTATTCATATCTTAGTTTTTAATAAATTTTACAAATTTCTTTTTTTATTATTAGTTTTCTTTTATTTTATGTAGTTTTATTTTATTTTATGTCATTTCATTTTATTTTATCTTAATATTTTATTTTATCTTATTAAATTTAATGTTATTTTATTTTATCTAATGTTATATTATTTTATTTTATTTTATTTTATTTTATTTTATTTTATTTTATTTTATTTTATTTTATTTTATTTTATTTTATTTTATTTTATTTTATTTTATTTCATTTTATTTTATTTTATTTTATTTTATTTTATTTTATTTTATTTTATTTTAAATTATTTTAACTTTTTATTGTTGTACTCCCGCCTGATTCATAATATTAAAATATGCAAATTTAAGAAAAAAATTTTTAAATGAGAATTACGCTGCAAGTCCTTGTTATGAATCTCCCATAGTATTCATATAAATTATATATCTATTGAATTTGTTCAAAAAATGTTCAAAATTAATTGCATTGCAATGTTTCGATGTTTTGATATTTGTTATGTGCATATACAATATTCATATGTACATACACATACTATGTGTGCCTATATGTATCTCAAAAATTTTTTTGCCGTTAAATATAACCCTTAGGCTAGCTGGATAAAATGAAGTAATATAAAACAATAAATTATACATACGTTTGGTTTGAACACAATACAGTCATGTTTAAAAAAAGTGTTGCTTTTTATAAACTTTGCATTAATTTTTATATTTAAAGTTTAGAACTTACAAATTTTCAATGGAATATATATATATATACTGATATTTTATGACCGCCACTGTATATTTGCATTTTGATTTGTGATTCTAAGATTGTTAATGTAGCAATTAATTGCAAACTGTTTAATACTTAATATGTGAATAAACAACAGTGTATATGTATATGTACGTATGTAAACATGTCCGTCCGTATGTGTGTATGTAAAATTTCAGCGCTTAGTAGACTTTTTTCGAAAACTTAGTAAGAAAAAATCGTCAACGACAAGATATGCGTACTGTTAAATATATTTATATATACATATATATATATATTTATATACAATCAATAAGCTGAAAAGAGTAAATCGCGTTTGCGTTCGTCGTCTTGAGACAAACAAAAGTGCACTTCGCTGATATACCAACGCTTAGTCAATAAAAATGAACACAGCAGATCGGTTCTAGCTTCAACAAATATTTAACGAGTTATTTGACGCTTACCACTTAATCGTTCTCATATCGTAAGGGCGGGCAAAACGTCGCTCAAAGTACATATGTACATACCTACACATTCGTAACTTTAGTGCGCTGATAGTGGCGCGTTACTGCCAACTGCTAAAGCCGTCCGTTGACCTTCGTAATTTGCAATTGTAAAACTTATAGTATGCAATTTATATTATTTTTGTTGTAAATAATAAAGAAGCCATATTTTATAAAACGTCTTTGGCCTTTGGGTTTAGATTTGTAAATTTCTTGTTATCATCTAAATACATATATAACAGCATAAATTGATATTGTTTATTGATTGCAAGTCTGTGTGTGTGTGTGTCTAAAGACTGTTGGTAAAAGTGAAGAATAAAGTTGGTCGCCATGGCAGAGTGTGATATGGAAAATACTAGTAAACAGGAAGACTGGATGGCATCGGGTATTTTAAGAAAATATCCCATTTATCGAGACACGCTAATCAAGACATGCGAGGGGTGTTGAGGCGGGAATTAAATCACTTTACTTTCAGTTGGTTTAAGTATAACTCACTCCACAATCTGTAGAGCGTTTATTTATATAAATTTGTAATGTGAAAATTTACATGCATGCATATGTGTACATAAGTATGTTTACATTAGAAGATTACCCACGAATAGATAATCTTATCTTATGTTTTAATTTTTATTGCTTTACATATTCATGATAAGAACATCAGTATACATAGATGCTTATGTTGTTGTAAAGGCATCAAGTATCAATATTCATATCATGAGTATGTGTATATGGACATCTGTTTGTACTTTAATTTTTATTGCCTGGCCTATAAATGTCATACAGCATATGAATTTATGGCCATACATTTTAATTGCTGGCTTATCGTTTCGGAAAACTAAACAAATGTCATACAGCATATGAATTTATGGCCATACATTTTAATTGCTGGCTTATCGTTTCGGAAAACTAAACAAGGGGTAAGATCTAAAATGAATCGATATACATACATACATATGCAGTATTTAATAACATACATATGTATATAATACGAGTATTAAGCACCTAAATATGCACGTATGTACATAAACACAACTAAATATAGGGTTATCCTTTTTACGCTTTCGAAAGTAAACATAAATAAAATGGCTTTGGTTATTTTTTTACAAGAATTTCCTTTTTTACTATAAAGTCTTGGACTCGGAATGAAACACTGCATCATTCAACTGAGCGTCTCGGAAATTTGTGCAAATTAGCTCCACAATAAAAGGTCCAACTGTGTTGAATAGCACTACCTCGGTGGCCAATTGACATTGCCAATACGTGAGATTCGCGTACGGGAAATTTCTCCCGCAATAACTCACTCGTATTGTATGATATGTAGCACCATTTTGCTGAAACCACATTTGTCATAAGTCGTGTTCTTCAAAGGCATGCCAGAAAAAAGGCGGAAATAATACGACCACAACGCTCCGAATTGACAGTAACAGTCTCGTCGTTGTTTTTTTCAAAGAAGTAATTTCCCGTTACACGGCCTCTCTTCAAATATTTGAGGATTCTCGGAGCCCTGAAGCGACAATGTTGTTCATTTTCGTATCGCCTGAGTAAGAAATGTACATTTGAAGAAAGAACCCAATCGACGTAAGTACGGCGTTGTGAATGCTCAGTTGGCTTCAGGTGTTGTGTAAGTCGTAAGAAACTCACAGCTCTTTAACAAGAGGAGAAAATGACACATTCGAGTCTTAGCCTATACTTTAACTTAGTGTAGCAATATTTAAGGTGGAACGAGCGTTGGCCGATTGTGTCCACCAGAATCTCCTGTTAAAGCACGAAACGTGGCCCCGTTTGATTCAAAAATTTCGTAGTAGGTTTTAATAATTATTACGCGTTATGCGGTTGTTAAGCGATCCATTTTCATAAATACCTGACTTTTAACTAAAGCAAAACCGGTTTGATTTAACAGCCAAATTTAGGAGATATGAAAATGCAGTCTTGCTCTTTTGAGACCATGAAATGAAAAACCCTATAAATATACAAATTCACAGATAAAAAAATATCGGTCAATGAAAGTGTAAATATATATAGTAGAGTTATTGGCCCTTTGTAACAGCTAAAGCGATTTTTCGACCGAGCTCCTCCTCCAATTTGTGGTTATGCGTCTTGATGTCTTTCCAACAAATGGAGGGACCTAGAGTTTATACTAAGCCGCTTCCGAACTGCTGATGGTTTTTTTACTTCATGTCCGAAATACACTCGTAGAGGTGTCCATTCCCTGCCGAAGATTGACCGCAATTAGAAAACTCGGCTGCCGCGGCCGCCAAGGTATAAAACCGAATAAAAATATTGGTATAAATCTTTAAATTTAAATTTATTTATATAAGTATGTAATTTTGAAACAAGCATAAAAGTGAGATCGAACGTTGGATACTCAGTTAATATTTATATTCTGCCCACAGATTGGGGTAGTTACATAGAAGGTAGGTCTATTTTTGGACCTATGTTTGGCAGGACTTTCTTCTCCCTTAAAAGTAGCATAATTACCAGTTTGAGTTATTTATTAATCCCTCAATCATTCGATCTTGAGTCAAGCGAGGGTTGGCCGGTAAAGAAAAACCGTTACATAGGACAAAGGCATAGTTGGTTCACGATCGTGCTCATTGTCAATTCATGTTCATACTTAATCATACGAAGAATTTTATTTAGTGGTATTATATTTTTCTACACTTTGAAACAACTCGATTTTCGTACTCTTCAAAATAGCCGTTATATGGAAGTTTGACGTGAACTTTGTCCGGTTTCCTCTACTTGCAAAAGCATCCGTTCGTGTGACCCAAGGAATGTGGTGGGCAAACTGTATCAGAATCTCTCAGCCCTTTTTTCAGTTATTCTGTTCACACATGGACGGACATACAGATATGGCTAAATCGATTTGCCTCGTCATTCCATGACGTTGCCATACCTTTCGTTCTAGGGGAAAAAAAGTCACAGGTTGACATATCGGGCAAATAAGGCGGTTGTTGCAACAGGACGATCCCTTTAGAGGCCAAATAATCCGACACGCTGAGGGCGGTTGTGCAAGGCGTGTTGTCGTGATGAATGATCCAGTTACGAGCGATGTTGGGGCGCACCCTGTTGACTCGTTTTCGCAATCTTTCGAGTACTTGGCAATAGTGGACTTGATTTACGGGTGGAAGAAATTGTTTGTGGACGATTCCAGGGCTATCAAAAAAGGCAATGATCATCGTTTTCACCTTCGACTTACTCATACGAGCTTCCACCCTTTCACGAAAATTGATGATGACTGTAAGATCTCCCATTGAATGGATTGCATAGAGCACTTTTGGACATACATACTTTTGTCCTATTATATTCTGTTAGTAGAAATAAATAGATTTACAGGCCTCCTCTGTTGAGGTAACAAAATTTACTTTAGTATTAAAATTTACCATTCAGTAAATTTTGTTGCCATTTCGTATTCTGAGCTCACTGTTACCCTGTAAATTTTGTTACCAGCGAAATAGGAGGTAACAAGCATATCTGCTGTTCGGTTTTGTGTTGTAAGTTTGAGAAAAAATAAAAAAACCAAAATGGGTAGGCATATTTTAGGCCTGGAATTCATTGAAGATGAAAAACTAAGTGCAAAAAGCCGAACTTTAAGAAGTTTTCGAGACTAAAAAATAACCCTTTAATTTGTAAGATAACGTTTTCATTGCGCTTTTTTTGTTATCCAGGCATATTTTCCATAATTAGGTCCAAATATTTATGATTTAATAAGCAAATTACCAACCGGCAAATGTAATTTGACAAGAACGAAAAAAGCAGTGCTGCCAAATTTTTTCAAACATTGTAACCAGTTCGCCAGAATACCGCATTCAATTTCGGGTGTTAAAGAAAAGTAACAAAATTTACTTTACCGGTAACAATGAGAATAGGCCTGTTGGTATATATTTATTTGGAAACTTAAAAGAAAAGTCACCTTAGAAGTAAATATATGCTGATTTATACATACATACATATGTATAGTTTGGTTGTTCTAATTACATATTAATTATTGTACCGTTTTATATACATTTAAAAAATAAATAGTACTATATACATATGTATGTATAGAAATATGTATTCATGCATCAAATTTAAATTAATTTTATTTTTATTCAAAATGATTTGTAATTTGTTTTGCGTTAATTGTTCAAGTGCTCTCTGTGGAATATTTAAACCGGAATTATTGGTGCAATTAAAATTTGTAAAGAGGTGAAGGTCTTTTAGAAATGCGCATTTATTCTTATGCATATTCTACTTTGTCTATATTTAACTAGCGAAGAACAAGTTCTTCGGATTACGAGTGCGAAAAGCAAATTTTATTTGTAAAATTCATTTTATGGTTTCTAATTTCAATTTTAATATAAAAATGTTTGATTCATGATGACATTTCATGAACAAAAAATGCTATTACATACATATGTACATGTCTGTATATCTTACAATACAGGTCCAAGTTATGTGATAAGATAAGAAGGAAAAAATTAACAGGTAAAAATTATAAAAAAAAAATAAAATAAAGTAAATGATTGGCAAGTTTTTGACTGATGCCAAAAAACCGCAATCAAATTTTGAATGCTCAATAAAATAAGTTATAATGTATTAAAAAAAAGTGATGAATAGATGTAGAAGTGTACTTAAAGGACCTTAACGGTCATGTGTTCAATACTTACAGAAATTATTGCAAGGGATTTTCTGAATGCAAAATGAAACAAAACCGGAAAATCTACGATTTTACGTCCCAAAATCTTATACCTGAAAGATCCAAACTCACGTGTTTCAATTTGTCAATCTGACGCGATCGGTATAAATTTTGAGGGGTTTATCTTTTCTCCTTCTTCATACTTCGAACTAAAATTAATATTATATATCAGGAATTCGAATATTAGAATTTGGCATTTGGCCCACACAGATGATAAAAACTATTGAAATCGGACGACTACAGCATACACGTATATTCCCCATACAACCGTTTTGTTTAAATGTGAGGTTTGAGTCGAAAACGCATCTAAGGACGTCGGCATGTTCGAAGATAACTCTTCTTTTTTCTTCTGGCAGCAGGTGTATTGCAACACGTACATACGTGTACATATGTACACATATTCATAGCTGTCGGCAATGAAGCGTCTAAATTGCTTTAAATATTCGAACTTCTTGCTTTATGCAGACGATTTAAAACTATTTAAACGCACAAGAGGATCTTACCAATTCAGCTAAATCCGATATAATTTGCACGGAAAAGCAAAAAAATTAATATTAGCTTCTCAAAGTGCCCAAATATGGTATTTCTTCTATTAACCAAGTTTATTTTAGCCTTGCTTATTTACGGTGATTTGGTGTTGAGTCAGAGATCCCTACACACGTAATATACTATATAAGTATATAATTTATTTATTTGAGTTCGAAAACGTCAAAATACTTTGAAAGGATGCCGTTGCTTAAGCGTATCTTTACAATGCAACCGTGCATTCTATAAATTTACAAAACAACAATATTTGCTCTAAACAAAATACGTTGAAATAAAATAAAAAAAATTTTGTCATGCACAATTTAAAGTATCTAAATATGCAATGCGAAATTGTTTCATTCAATGCAGCAGCTGTTTGCTCAAATCTATACATATGTACCTTATATGTTTATTCATATCCAAGTATACATATGTATGTACATATAAAGAGTGCATAATTAGAAATTAGTGAAGCGAATTATAGGCATATCACAGTAATCGAAAATCAGATTTTCAAATATTTTCAGGTTTATTAACATAATTCCCCAAAAAAAACATTAATTTAAAAATTATTCGTTTTGTTTTAAAATTTTTTTTACTTATTCTGGAACACTCTCAATAATGTGATCACGGCAAAGATGACTAGATACGAAACTTACTCAAAATCACTCAAATTGCAGCTGAGAGCGTTCCCCCATCTCACATTCCAATGTTGGCAGCAGTGTCAGATCGGGGAACATTCAACATCTGATGTGCAAAACGCACCAGTGCCACTATGTCAATAAAAAAACCCATTATTTTTGTTTTTTGAGAAATTTGATTCAGCAGTAAATATTAAAGAAATTATTGTAATTATATTATGAAAACTTAATATAATTAAATATTGAATTGTTTCTTAATAAAATATTTTAGTGAAATTGCAATTAAAGACGCCGTTGTTTGTAATAAAATACCCAAAATATACCTAAAAATCCAAAGAAATCTTTTTTCTATCACAGTGGCACTGTTCAGAAATGTTATAAAAAATGCGGATTTTTGAGCGCTCTCACGGAAGAAAGAGTTTCGTATCTAGTCATCATTGATCACGGTACTTTCTGCAATCTTTCTAGTTGCTATATGTTTTTAGTCCCGCATCTGCTTTTACTCACCGCACAAATGACTCGATACAACTGAACGGTTTTCCATTCCGAAAGGTTAAGATTTCCCTTTAACATGGACACCACCGTTTCAGCATTTCTTTGGCGAGTATTTTGTTTACGATCTACGCTAAGATTCTATTTAAACTTGTTTACTACCAGGGGAAACAGTGTTTCGGCTAACTTTAGCAACCCTTGCAATTCGCTTAAAACTATATTGCGGCTTATTTAAAAAAAAAATATAAAAATTAACTCCCGCACTTCTTTCTCACTTTCCATGACTGCACAAAAAATGAATGAGAAGTTTCTCCACTTGCTTACACTTACATTTCTCGAAATGAACATTTCATAATTTATTGTACGAATTTTCAAAATGAAATCTCTGTTAATATTTTCGTTGAGTAACATATGATCATAGCAGCCAACTTCAAGCAGCAATCACAGTGCTGCTACTTAATTTTTATGTTTAGAAAAAATTTTACCCGAATTTTATGTTTTCATCTGAAGTTGACAATAAGTGTTATTACATGTTAATTATGTATTATATTGTCAATGCCTTTTTTTTTAAATACGTTAAACATTTCTTATCCTCGCTCCTATACATATCTCAGCTGGATAGCTGCTAAACGAAAGGACGATGAAGCGGAAGGCCTATGGCGTATAAAAGACAAACTTTACGATCTTACGGAATTCATACCGCATCATCCCGGCGGCGCATTTTGGTTAAAATGGACCAAAGGCACTGATATAACAGAAGCATTTGAATCGCATTACATTTCAAAGAAGCCAGAATATATGTTAACCAAATTTTATGTGCGCGATGCGGAGAAGCCACGAAATTACAAATTAACTCTACATGATAACGGTTTCTATAGGGTGCTCAAGACACGTGTTCGTGATAAGCTGAAAAGTGTAGACTACTCACCAGCGAAACGTACAGATGTAAGCACTTGAATGAAATTCAATTATTACAATTTTTGCAGCATATTCTTACTTCCAGTTGGAAATTATATTATATTTCTCAATTATCATCCGCAGTTTATACACCTTGGACTCTTGTTGTCAACATTCATTCTGGCTTTTGCTTGTTCTTACACTGGCTACATTATATTTGAATTATTCGCCGGTTTGTCACTCTGTTGGCTCACCATTGCCACACACAACTACATGCATCGCAAGGATAATTGGCAAATGTACACTTTCAATTTGTCACTTATGAATTTTTGTAATTGGCGCGTTTTGCACGCCATGTCTCATCACGTCTACCCGAACTCTTTAACTGACCTTGAGATGTCGCTGTTCGAGCCATATCTTTGCTGGTGGCCAAATTCCCGCCTACACACGAAGTGGCATCGTATGTTTGGCGTCGCAATACAACCAATCGTTTACACGTTTATCTTTCCTTATCAGATTTTAATGAGGTAAGTATAATATATTTGTACATATAAAACATATAAAGGGTGCTTTTTTAGACATGGGTTTGTAAAATGAAATAAAACGTTATTAATTCAATGTTATGCCCAAGAATTTAGCCTGATTTCAAAGATTATGGTTTGCCATTATGTTTTAAAAATTAATAATCGAGCAAATGGCCGCCACGGCTGGCTGGCTGGAGAGGCACAATATTTAACCACTTTTTGCACCGAAAATTCTCTTCCCAAGCGGCAACTGTTCCGGACTTGTCTTTGTAGACAAGAGACATCCCATAAATTCACAAAAAATAGTTTAACAGTGGTAAATCCCATAATCTTTGTGGCCACGCCACAGGCCAACGTCACAAGATAATGCGCTCCTTCAATAAATTGATTGCTTCGTTGGTTGTATGACATGCAGCGCCAACTTGTTGGAGCCAAAGATCGTCCACATCAATATCCTCCAACTCATGCACGAAAAAGCGATTAATCATGACTCTATGGCGTTCCCCATTGACTGCAAAATTTTTCAAGAAATATGGATGGATGATACCCTCGGCTGATAAAGCACACACACTGACTTTTGTGTGATCTAACGGCGCCTCAACAATGGCTTTTAGATAATCATCACTCCAAATGTGAGAATCTTGTTTATTAACGTTCGCACTCAACCTTCAATGAGCTTTATCGTTGAACAAAATATTCGTATGAAAATCGAGATCGGTGAACATCTTATTGTGGGCCCCCTCACCGAACGTGCTACGCACTTGATGATCGTTCGATTTCAAATCTTAAAGGAGTTGAATTTTGTAAAACCACAAACTAAGATCCTTCCATAAAGTGAATGGCGCAATTTTTGCGCGTGAAAGCTGGTGGACTCATTCAGGTTTTCTTCGACACTCTGCCCCATAACAATGATAACGTATCCGGTACACTCTGTATGGCGCCTCTGAGGATACACATTATCCACTAGAGTAAACTAGAGGTGCGAGACCGATCCATGCTTGCTCAAATTACCAACTCTGCTGGGCGACTATGCCGACCGAATTTTTGAATGCAAACGTTGTCCTGGATCCAATCCAATGACTATAAATCAAGTAAAAACTGTCAAAAAGACCATCACCGTAAAAAGTTTTGCCTCATTGAAAACCACACGTCTGAAAAAAAACACCCTTTACAACTAAGAACACAAAAATCCATGCATCTACATATGTATGTATGTATGTATGTATGAATGTATATAAACTATTTTTTATCATTACAGAATTACTGTCTCACTTTTGCGCAAAAATATATTATTTTGGCACGATATCATCGGCCTAACGCTTCCCCTCTTCATGCTGCTCGTAGGCCAAGTATCCACCTTAACTGTGATTAGGCAATGGGTAGTTATCGTGGGTCTAGCCAGTTTCATTTTTGGCGTAATTGGCTTGAATGCTGGTCATCATGATCCCAAGATTTTTCACGATGGTGATGCACACCGTGAGGATCGCGATTGGGGCCTCTATCAGTTGGACACAATAATTGATCGTAGTGATATTAAAGGTTCACAATTTTTGGTATTAACGCATTTCGGCGATCATTTTCTACATCACCTCTTCCCCACATTGGATCATGGCATATTACCACAACTTTATCCAGTACTTTATGAAACATTAGAAGAATTCCAGGCCCAATTGCGCGGTTGTAATCATTTGCAGCATATTATTGGCCAGAATAAGCAATTACTGCGCACCGAATCGAATCCAGTACCTCCGGGTGGTGTACATAAAAACAAACGTGGTTAGAATTTCGAATATATTTTACATACGTGCGTATGTGTGTATGTAATATAATATCAATATTTAAACATTGTGATATATTTCCAAATAAAGTTGAATAATTTTTTCTACATAGCATATTAATATACTCGTATATTATTAATGGCGAATTTAAGATCCACAAACTGACTACTTGCGATCGATCAATACACGTACGGGATGGATTAGATACCGATAATCGAAGAGGAAAGCATGTGTAGACACAAAAAGGGGTGAGACCGGGATGGTTGAGTATGACGAGTTTGAGAAACTGACCAACTAGGGTAATGCGATTTACAGAAAGTCTTAAGACCAACGAAACCTCTCGCACAAGCCAGAGATATTATCGAGCAAGAATATACCGAGCCTGCTGAATGTTAACGAAAATAAATAAAAAATTTTTCAGTGGTGATATTTTTGAGGCCTTTGGCTTAAGCAGTTATAAAGGCGTTGTATTTACGATGTGAAAAGTATACACATTTCACTTGAGGGAGACTATATTGAAATATAAAACTACGTATTTGTTTTATTAAGTACTTTAAGCAGCGAACTTATCTTTACTAGAAAGACGAAAGTTCATCAATTCAATCCACCGTCTCTAAGCTGAACTAAGCTGAAGAGAATGTGTTGAAAGCAGAGCGCTCCGATTTCGAAATACCTGCAGAAAATCTATTACCTTGAAATGATAGACAAAAAGGCAATTAACAGGTCATCTCAGGGAAACACAGTGAATATCACTTTAATCCCTGGTCACATCGATGTAGAAGGTAACGAATAGGCTCACCCTGGCGCCGCTGGTGAGGCTGTCGCCATCGACCGCCTCAGACCCATCAGGAAATAATAGAGGAACTTTTAAGATATTGAAACTCTTCCGTTGTACGAGAGGATCAACAAAAGTTCGGTAAGTTGAGCAGAAAAAGAAAAATTCTTTTTTTTTTTTAAAGATTACTTCTTGCATGATTTCAATGCATTTCTTAAACCTATGGATACACTTCTGGAAAGAGTCTTTAAAATATTGCTTTCTAAGCTTATCAAGTTTAGCATTAACCGTACTAATTATCTTCTCTTCCCATTCATTTTATTTTATTTTTTTTATATTTGGAAATAACCTGAAATTACAATGTGCTGTATCCTGGCAATATGGGGCTGGACGTATTTCTTCGATCCCAGAGATCGCAATAAAATTACTCGTTATTTCAGCAGTCCGTGCCATGACGTAAAAAGTAGCGCCCCAAATTATCTTCCTGTTTTCCAACAAAGTTTTGTAAACTCTTGGTAAGCACTCTTCGGTGTACCATTTTGTTGTTAACGTCTGACTCTTTTCCAATGGATTAGCAGCTTCAATTTTAGATCGGGTGAAGTAAACTGGATTTGCTCCTGTTGAACTCCATACCATGGGCTGCTGTTTGGTTTCTGTATCGTTCTTATAGAACCAAGATCGTCACCAGTAACGACTTTACTAAAGTTGCTAGACTGACCATTTTTGAATTTGTTTAGGAAAAATTTAGCAGACTGCACTCGAGCCTCTTTTTTGGCCTCATTTAAAATTCGTGGTACCCATCGAATAGATTTTTTCGTGTGTCCCATATTATTACTTAATATTCGCAATACAGCCATGGCATTCAAGCCCAATTCATTAGCAATCATTTTGTGGGTCTGTGTCAATTTTGGACTTCACCAGAGCTACAGTGACGTCATCATTGGACGGGGCTTGTCCTCTACGGAAAAATATCTTCGAAAGCACTTAGAAATAGTCTTTAAAGACGGTGCAATCGTTCCATATGCAATTTAGCATTGACTGAATATTTGTATTGAGTGTAAAATACGCCGAAACCCGAAGAGAATCACATGGCGAATTTCTGTTTGGCGTTGGTGGTGGAATTTCGTCTGACCTATCCTCAGTTTTCTTGCGTTTTCTCCTCTGCATTTTAGCCGATCGTTCTCAAATTTAAAATGAGGACTAATAAATTAATTGAAAAGGTTTTGGTATTTTAAGATTTAACAAAATAAAATTGAAAGTCACCAACCGAACTTTTTTTAATTCCCTCGTTTATCTTAGGCGTTCTCATCGTGACTATTCAAAAAATAATGATATTAAGATAATATGTTTGTTTGCCTGTAGTTAGCATTTGGTTGTATAACCCTTCTGCTTTAACACTGCTTCACATCGGATAAGATTTCGTTAGCTCGCCACTGATGGGGCTTGCCATCCCGTTCTTACTTCCTCAAAAGGGACATCAATTTTTAGGATATTTTTAACATCAAAGACGCTTTTAACGTCAAACCAGAGGGATTAAGTCTACACTGGATGATGGCAACTGTAAAACATTGATGGAATTTTCGTTAAACTTTTTTTTCGTCAACTTTGCTTCTATCTATAGAGTGGACCAATACCATTACACAAAAAATATTTTCATGTCATGATTGATCCTCCACTATGCCTCGCAGGCGTTAAACATAGCGAGGATTAAATTCTTGGTTAATTGGCCGTTTAATATACCTCCGACCATCAGGAGTAGTGCGACTATTTTTCCCTTTTCATAGTTCCAAATGACATACTTCGACTGGTTTAGGAGCCAACACCAATGAGAATGGGCAAAGTTTATACGTCGTTTTCTTTGGGGTTTTGGTCAGAAGCGGTTTCTTGCGTGCTGCTGTTCCATCAAGTCCAGATTCTACCAAACGCTGGGAAATAATTCTCTTCGATATTCCTGCTAAGCTAAGCATCGAACTATAATTTCACATTTTTTTAAAAAGTCAGTTCCCGGTCCACTACTCGAAGAGACGACGAAATTCCTTTCGATCGCAAAAAGCCATTTATGTACCAAATATCACATAAGCCGAACCATAAATAAGATTTTTTCGAATAAGTAAGTCGCTGGTCCACTTCTCTGAGCGAAGTGTAGTCTTCCTGATAAAATAAACAAGAAGCCACTTATGCATCGAATTTCAAGGAAATCGAACCATAAATAAAATGTTTTCGAATAGATCCGTCCAAGGTCCTCTTGCCGGTGTGAAAAAATAGAGGTTGGCCGATTCTCAATCCGACTGTATATGTACCTAAAATTCCATTAAAATTGGTCAATCCGTTTCGGTGGAGTATCGTGTCTAACGCTGTGACGCGAGAATTTTATATATAAGAAGAAGATAATCACCAAGAATTTAATTGAATTCTTGCGATTTTGGTACAATTCAAGCGTACCGTTAAGTACGAATTGAACTTTATTTGAATTTTAAATTCCCCCCCCGACGGAAAAAAAACCTGCGTTTACAGTACAGCTGGATAAAAAATATTAAATTATTTAGAAGGTTGTTAACATTTGACTCTTATATGGTGAAATAATTTCATTTTTATGCTAAATCACTTCATAAACTTTCATCAGCATTGACTCGCTTTGAGTTATCGAAATGCGTGTTTGTGAACATGTACATATGCAAATACATACATACAAACGAGTACATGCGTATTGTAATTCTCTATTGCGGCACAGCATAGCAAATTTCAAGGTTATTTATTAAATTGATTGTATACGAATGCATCGCACAAGCACACACTCATAAGTTTATGTACATATGTAGGTGTAAAAATTGTTTAAAAATATAGAAATGGATGATGCATTACAATACCAACTGATCTTATCATTAAAGTTGTTTAAGTAGTATGCTTAAGCATTTCCAACGTCTATCGATTAGATATTGTCGAATAAAAAACTGTCTCTCGCGCTGCAATTAATTCAGTTTATTTTCAAAAATCAACGCGCAATGAAGTGCTGGCCGGACGATCGTTGTTTAATCGCTTTAGCGATGACAACATTAATAACTATATCGCGCAATGTATACCCAGTGGATAGTGCTAATATTCTAGGTGTATTTCTTAGTCCGAGCCCCTCACATTTAATTGTACACATGTCAGTTATGAAAGCATTAGCTGAGCAGGGACACGACATCACTGTCGTTTCTGGCTTGAAGCCAAAAGTGAACCACCCTAAAATAAAAAATATCATTATCGATCCATCGGAGGAGAATCAACGGAAGATGAATGAGGAAATGTCCGGTTTTGGTACTAAAAAAACAAATCTACTTTTGACGTTTTTAAAGTTTTTAACAGCAGACAATGTTATGTTCACTATGCAATTTGATGCACTCAAACATGAACGTTTCCAGCCGATTTACAACAATAAATATGATTTGGTCATAATGGGTTATTTTATGAATAATTTTCAATTTATCGTGCCGGCTAAATTAAATTGCCCAATGATACTAACTTGGACAGGGCAACCGATGGAGATGATTAACAGCTTGGTGGGTACGCCCCATGAAGTATCTTATGTACCGTCAATTTTTACACCGCATAAGAACGGAGAAGTTATGAGTTTGAGTTCACGTCTATTTAATTTCGTGTCAAGTGTTTTATTCCGCTTATTTACCAATATCATGGAATTATCTATGGAAGGAAATTATAGGTGACTGAGTTAATTATGATATTTATCGACAAACATTTTAAATTGAGAATCACATACAAATGTACATATATATTTTCCAATTCTAATAATTTTTACAGAAAATTAGTAGCTGATCAAACAGGACTTCGGACATTTTCAGAAATGAAAAAAAATGTTTCGCTCATATTTGTTAATAGTCATTTTAGTGAGGGTCCTATTCGGCCATTGGTACCGGGTATGGTTGAAATAGGTGGTATCCAAATCAAGGAGAAGCCAGATCCTTTGCCAAAAGTAAGTAGAAGATGTACAGAGTGCTTACTAAACTCAAGTATAAATTCATTGTTTTGCATGGGTCCCGTAAGCGTCCTCAAAGATTTGAGATCTTAAAAAATTTACTTTTTATTATTTAGTTTTTCAATGCATGCGTGCTCGAAACAGCTGAATAGTCTTTCTAATCTCAAAACTTGTATGATTGCATTTTTTTATCAAAAATATATATTTATGTACATACATACATAAGTTTTTATTAAAACTAACAACTAATGTGTACTCTATGTATTTGCAGAGACTCAATGACTTTTTGAATAATTCGAAAAGTAATGGCGCAATCCTCTTCAGTTTAGGCTCGAATATGAAAAGTTCTAACATACAACCAGCAACTGTTGAAATTATTTATAAAGTTCTGTCATCACTGAAGCAGAACGTTATTTTTAAGTGGGAAGATTTAAAGAACACACCAGGTAATGCCTCAAATATACTCTACGAAAAGTGGTTACCGCAAGATGATATACTCGCACATCCTAACCTCAAATTGTTCATCACCCATGCCGGCAAAGGTGGAATGGCTGAAGCTATCTATCATGGCGTACCCATGATCGCGATGCCAATATTTGCTGAACAGCCAACAAATGCAGCTAAAATTGTTTCGTCTGGTTATGGATTGGAAGTGGATATATTAAATTTGAAAGAAGATACCTTTAAAAATTCCATCTTAGAGGTGCTCAACAATCCGATATACCGTGACAATGTACAGAAGTTTTCAAAACTGTATCGCGACCGACCATTGAGCGCGAGAGAAAATGTGATTTATTGGGTGGAGTATGTATTGCGTCATCACGGTGCCGTTCACATGCAAAGTCCCTTAGTTCATATGAACTTTGTGCAGAATAATAGTTTAGATGTAATTTTAATTATTTTAATTGCTCTTTTTGTTATTTGGAAGCTGTTAAAACTAGTGTTCAAAGGTATAGTTATGTTGATAGGCATGGCCATAAGAAAATTGAAGTCAAAAATAAAGTCAAAGAATGAATAAAACCTAATACACTTGTTTGTATCTATGTCCATATGTATACATGTGTGTGCTACTATGCGGACGGTTTAGCGATCGAATGCAGTATCCAAAAGTGTAGAAAAGGTTATAAATATACATACATATACTTATGTGTCTTAGAAATACCGCCGTATCAGTTAGGCTCTGTGGTTGTTTCATGGGTCATGCTCGGTAAGCTTATAGGCAATAACAATAGCTACTAAGTTTTACTAAATCACGTTCGTTGAGACAATAGCCAGTAAGATTTGCATCGAGAATGCGTAATTTTCGTTACTGGCTAAATCTTACTCACCCTGCAAGAAGGCTTCTGATCATTTGAGCCAACATATGTAAGGAATACATGACGGCATATACCGCCAGTTCGTAGAACGATTTTCCTATCACTTTCTTAAGGCCGAAATGACAAACGTGATGTTCACATTTGTATACGTGTACGTCATTCTCTCTTCGTTTCCTTGTGCATTTTTGTCATTCTTGTCGGACAAACAGAACACAGCTGAGCGACATCATTAATGTTGAAGAAAATCAGCTTTGACAAAAATTTTCCCACATATATACATACATAAAAACATTATTAAGATTCAGTCTTTATTTCAATATTTAACATAAATTATGTGCATCGTTGACATAGCGTACAAAAGAAATAACAATACAACAATAAATTCGGTACAAAAACCAGCTAAATATTATAAGCAAAACCGCAAATACAGAAGATGTCTTTAATAATGACGCAGCCCCTGAGCTCCACGAACGCCTCCGTCATAATCGCAGGTCATTTGAAGTATAAAGACATCTAAGTGGAAAAAAATAATGTGCGAATAATAATGTTATTAATATCTAAATTCAGTTGTACCTCACACAGTTTTATTGAATATTTTTAAATCTGCTATTGCAGCAAGATGAGAAGCGTCCGTTACAGTCAAACTGCTCCATTAGCTGATCTTTTCGTACAACATGAAGTGCACTTAAATAATCAAATGTAAAAGCAATGAAAAATGAAGGACTTAATTAATCCAAACTATATATTATTACCATAGCTTGTACTGGATCCTGATCATGTATTTTTCACATCTATCTACTGCGGAGAAAACGATAAAAAATGACGTTCTACTCGAAAATAAGAACAAAGAAAATTGGTTAGTCTGTTCAACTGCATTCTTCTTCAATTCGTATGTACTCAGAAGAGGAAGATAAACAAAAAAAAATGTGCAAATCCGTTAGTGCTACCCGAAATCGTGTGAGTGTATTGGTAAACCCATCAGCCCGTTCTTGCATAGGGCATTCCTCACCGAACACAGCTATTCTTTACATTTGAATTACATTGTTCGCTCTCTCAATTGCCGTGGTTTTTAACCCGGTTTACAAGGCATGTAATTTGCTGGTTTAACCTTTTGTTTTATTTGAAATTGCAAGGAAAGTGAAAGTTTTTTGTAAAAATTCAAAAATTCATTTTTGTTTTTTTTTTTTAATTTTTCATTTTCAAAACACAAATAGTGTTTGGTTGATGTTTTAGTGTTTTTTTTTTTACGCGTTTCGTTTACTTTGTTTTGATTTGTCAGCTGATTGCGATAAGTTTCCGATAAAAATTAGAGAATACATTCATTCACATACGATTCGGTCGTAATTCGAATGGCGTAATTCGTTAAGAAATTTGTATGGCGAATTAAGTAGTAGTTTTTGCATTCTCTTTTCTTTTCAATTTGCTTTCACATGCGTCAACTTTTATTGACTTGCTTCCCCTTGACACTCGGAACAAATTTTTAATTTTAATAAGCGGCATTAATACAAAATATGGAAGTCGACAAAAGGATATAATTTTTCAAGATCTTTCGGAGGTTACTCTCAAAGCTTTGAAGAAGATAGCGATGATTAAGATGTAAGTAAATTCATGGATTATTTTGATCAAATTGCATTATTTGATTATTTTATTTTGAAAAATGTCAAACGCCACGAAAATGTGTAAAGCAAGGCAAAGGAAAATTGAAAAGACTTGCCTTTACCTTCGAAGGGGGCAGCGCACCGCCAAAGATGACTAGATACGAAACTTACTCAAATCGCAGCTGAGAGCGTTCCCCCATCTCACATTCTAATGTTGGCAGCAGTGTCAGATCGGGGAACATTCAACATCTGATGTGCAAAAAGCACCAGTGCCACTATGCCAATAAAAAAATCCATTGTTTTTGTTTCAAAAGAAATTTGCTTCAGCAGTAAATATTAAAGAAATTATTGTAATTTTATTACTAAAACTTAATATAATTAAATACTGAATTGTTTCTCAATGAAATTTTTCAGTGAAATTGCAATTAAAGACGTCGTTGTTTGTAATAAAATACCCAAAATATACCTAAAAATCCAAAGAAGTAATTTTTCCATCACAGTGGCACTGTTCAGAAATGTTATAAAAAATGCGGATTTTTGAGCGCTCTCACGGAATAAAGAGTTTCGTATCTAGTCATCATTGGCACCGCATCGCTGTGCTCGTTCTATTCGCCTCTGTGGATTTTGACATTCCCTTTTACTTTGTATCTCATTTTGAAATAATTGTAGCTGCCTTAAATTTCAAACGAGTAAATGCCGTAAAATTTGCGATGGCGATGTAGCCAATAAGCTGGCCAAATAATTCTTCCAACCTTGAAAACTCCTGTCAGGCAATGAAGTAACGCAAAACCAATAAAAAAAATAAATGCCGTAAATTTGGAAATAGAATTTTGAGTTTCACTCAACATTTCTTTTTTCAAAAATATTAAGCTTCATACATTTATTTTTTTTTTTGACTTTTGCTTTATTTTTATGCTACCAATTTATATTTTTAAAAAATATATTTACGATAAAGTAAAGTTAAATAAAACGTACTCGCAAAAAACTCAAAAGTTTGCATTGTATTTTCTGAAATCTAATGGAAATAAAATTATTTTTCAGCCGGCTTGGCATTTTTTATAAAAAAATATTGAAATATATTGAAATTCAATTGAAAATAAGAAATACAGGAGTGTTACAGAAACAGATTGTTGTCGGAATCCGAATTGAAACCGACAAAATTCTCTTGAAAGGGTTACACATTCCGATTATTGATTTGCATGTCGGTTTCATTTTCGAAACAGAATTTGTGTCGATTTTAGTTGTTACAGTAACCAATTTATCGGTTTAAATATCAGAATTAAACCGATCAGTTATTCGTTAACAGAAATATGTGCAAATTTCTTTGCAAGCGGAAATTTAATGAAAATGTAAGTCATGAACCGATTGTGTAGGTCGCGCTAAGGAGATATTTGAGTCCCACAGACCGTTAAAAAAAAGCCTTCTGCTAAAAACCTCAGTGTGCCTGCAAGTTGGAGCAAAGCTGGGATAGACAGCCTATAAAACTTGTCTTCAATAAAATCCAGCCTTCCAGAAGCCTTTGTTATAGGGCTTCTTTGTTAAGATATTGTTCTATGAATCTACATATGATTAAACAAATATTTTATCAGCAAATGTAAAAGATGTATAATGCCAATTACATTTACATCGACTCTGGAAGCTCCATTGGATTGCAATTTCGATAAATAAGCAATTCTGTGTCGGTTTCTAAGACCCCTGATATTGTTAAAAAATCTTTTTCTGTCAATTTTATATTCTTAGACAGGCGAAGGCTGCTTTCTTTATTCACCCTTTTTCCATGATGTTCAATAGTAATTTTGAGATCGCAGCGCAGGTAGTTATTGTACAGGCAGATAGTGCTCATAAGTACGCACCAGGCGTTCATAAAACCCATCGTTGGTCACACCGCCATTATTACCCGCCATGGCGTGAGCAAAAGTCAAAAAAAAATATTGAAGAACTCTACTTTAACATGAATTTTGGTGTCGTTTATCCACTGGCTCCCGCCACTAGTCCAATAGTAAGCTTGCGTTCTTTTGTGTGACCGCTGTAGTACATGCCACAGAGACTTACTTGTTCGGTTCATGTCCTGTTCATCGCAATTTGTGAAAAGCGTACCATTCGTGATTTTTTTATATTGTGTGGCAGCGCCAAAATGAAATTCATCTGCTTTACGAACAAAATTAGGATTAAAACTGATATCTTTTGCTACTTTAACCAAGGACAATACTAATATTAACTCCAAATAAACAAATATTTATTATACAAACGCGAATCATTTTAAAAATGTCTCGTATTAAAAATAACGGAATGGTTAAGGAACTCATATACTTATACATACATTGTTAAAACATTATGAAATGTTGTAATTGCACCATTCAGCATATTACATAAAAAGGAATGAAAAATGCTTCCAAAATTTTTAATTTTATTTTTACAAAACGCTATAAAGTATAAATAGCTATTTACGTCCGAATGGATCCGTCCAAACTTTCATATTTCCTGGCTGAATTTCTTCTTGTTTAATTCCAGCCCGTGTTTGCCTTTGAATCTCTTTATATTTTTCTACGTTCATCATTGGTTCCACAACAATCGGGTAGAGCGCTATTCCTATTCCGCCAACAATACATGAAATAAATGCTACATATCTCCATCCTCGCAGTAAAGCCATATTTAACTCTTCAGAAAATTATTTTATTTTAGTGTGATAACCTTGTATTAACTATAGTTATTTCGGTGTTTATTTACATTTCGTTATTCACTTTCTGTTATGAACTAAGGTTATATTTGCTCATTGCTTTCGGCATATGTAGTGAATAGAGAGGAGAAAACGGCACAATAAGAAAGTATGACACCACTGATTTTTTATCATAAGTGCTACCTGACTGTTGAATTTTGTAACAACAAATATGCCACCCAGCTTCTTTGCTGCTTTCGCTACCACTAAAACTTTATTTACAGAATGTGTTAAATGAGTTTTATGACTTTAGCGTTTCTATTTTAAAACAAACGAAGAATTTCTATTTAAAATATACCATCAAAGATTTTGTATTTACTGGCTAAACCTTTCTTATTTAATTATATAGACGATATTATATAAATTGATGCAAAGATTTAAAAAATTCAAAAACATGCCACATATGTAAATAACAAATATATAAGGTTCTACATTTTTACAACTGTGGCAGCAATTTTGATGAATTCCTTGTTCACCGATATTCGCATTCATTTTCTGCCTTTCTCTTTTCTTTCATGCTCATTTTTGCAGCCTCAGCAACACATATCTAGTATTTCGATAATTGTAATATTATTTTGTCCAAATGGTAAATTGATTTTAAAAGTATTACTATAATTCGCCTTCATTTGTTAATGTCTATAAAATTAAAAGACATAGATTGTGTTGAAGTACATTTTATTGAAGAGCTCTTTGTGTAGTGATATATTATTGGAAATAAAGATGGTAAAATATTGGCAACATATGTACATATAGTACTGTTTATCATTCATTCATTATACATGGACATTCTTTGTAAAAAATCTGTTTTACGTTGATAATTTTTCATACATTTTGTGTGTTCTTACGAACGAATTTATTTCATATTTAAATACTTTATTATTGTTTATAGTAAATATTTCTATCAATTTTTTTTTGCAGAAAATAAGTGCTCTCAATTTCGTAGGAAAGTTTGGCTTGATGACTTAAAGTCTTGTAAATGGTGGAGAGAGAAGGATTTAAGTGCTGTCAACAATTGAATTAAGCTGCAGATATAATATAAAACTACTTTTTACCATAAATCCATAAAAAATCGTTACTTATTAGTCTAAACGTTTAACATACACTGGAAATATCGCATTAAAGATTAAACAGTGGAATTGCAACGTTGAGGAGCTTTTTCTCAAAACATAAGGATTTAGTGGAAAAATTATCGCAGTCCCTTTTGGAGTTTTAGTGTTAAAAAGTGGAGGAAAATTGTCTACGGTTACAAACCATGAATTTAAGGGGCACTGCTCCTAAGAAGGAGGGAAAGATGCGGATTCGAGCTTTTCCGGTAAGTTATTCATCGTATGGGTTTTGCAAAAGAAATATGAAATTTACGTATATGCAAGCTGGTTACGCGTTTTAGACTCTTTCTAAGCAATTATTAGCAATTACATACAGAGATAATCTGCAAATTTTATTTACAAATTTGGATAATATGCATCCATTTTTTCGACACGGCTGCGGTACTTTGTTTCCCGTTATTAAATACTAACAAATATAACATTTGCTTAAAGTCCCAAGACTCTTTGGTTGATATTAAATTAGTTAGAAATCTTAAAAAAAAAAATAATATAAGTCTTTAAATCAGCAGCAACATTTTAAAAAGAAAAAAAATGTTTTTCCTGTTATACGAAATTTTAGATATATTAATAACTTCTAAAATTGAGAACGTAGTGTGTACAAATGTCTAAAAAATTGTTATACATATGTGTGTACGTATATCTCCTACATGCGCTACGGCTTTTGCACAACATCTTTTCCCGTTAAGAAATACTAACAAAGATGACATGCATGATTGATAATAAATTATTAAAATTAAATTAATTAATTAATAGAAATTCTTCAATTAACCCAAAAGTAAAACAATGAAAACAAGACAAGAAATTGTTCTAAAATAAAAAATATTACATAAAAATTACCTCTGCCTAATGTTATTACCTTACTAATCAGAGATCGCCCTGAATTTTCTATTTCACGCGAAGGCACACCACACATACAAATCGCTCTTGCTGTTTCTATCTTCTAGTAGGGTAGTTTGTCCGGCTGCAAGCTAGACTTTCACCACTCTCTTAGGTTATTATTGGCCATTCTTAAACTCCATAATAAATACATACATATGTATGTATGTATAGGGTACAATATTCAAAGAAGTTTATTATCAAGGATGCAAAACAATATGTATGACCGGCTCTTATAATTCCTTACTAGCAATACATATGTACATATGTATTTGGCTTGTAGCATTACAACTCTCAATTAAACCTAAATTTAAATGAGTTAGCAATAGCTGAGTAGTCAACAGTGCATACTGCCTGCGGAAGGTATCGGTTTCGAGTTCGAGCTCGTCGAATATCTAAATTTTAAAATTGATTTAAATAAAAGATTAAGTTAATAATTTTAATTGCGAATATTGCGAATTGCGGCATATCAACCCAAGCTCCTTATAAACTGTAGGCTCCACCATTTTGTGGAAGAAGATTAAGACACATACTACACTACAAATTGGAAGAGGAGCTAGGACGAAAATCGTTTCAGCGCCAATTATATATAAGCAAAAACAAAAGAATGTCTATTGCCAGTGGCGGCCATTTTTCCATCTGGTAATGTACTTCGGGAAAAGTAATTTTTTGGAGCATGAAATTTATGTTTTTTAAAAATAAAATTTAAGTTTAAAATATTTGTATTGAATTTAATTTTCACTTTATGATTTTATTTATCCAACATTACTGCGCATTCCATGTCAATACAAAATCTATTGTTTCTGAAAAAAATCGAATTTTTCAAGAAGTTAAGAAAGAAAAATTATTATTTGTGAAAAAACGACATCATCCGTTAGAAATTTGTTAAATTAACAGATATAAAACGATATTGAGCGTGAGCGGGTGTCTGGCTAAATAGCAGCAAAGAAATAATATTTCTGAGTTTCTGACAAAAAGTCTTTTTAAACATTTTTATATACTGATTTACAAAAAGTATAACAAAAGTGGGAGCGAATTTTCATAAGATACATATATTGAACTATATTAAATAGTTAAGCAATATTTCAAAACAAATCAAATCTGGATAGCAGTATTGGGAAAGAATTCGATTAGAGTGACAATGTTATAAACCTAATAAACTCAAAACCAATGTTTCAAAAAACTAGATACAAAAGAAAACGACGTCGTTTTGAGGGGAGTAGACAAAGCGAGAATTCAGCCATTGAAACGTCATTGCTATAATCGATCTACTGCTGCACCAAAGCCAACATTTGCTGTATAATAGCAAAAAAAAAAATATTAATTCAAGAAAACCAAATTATATTCGATTACGATACCAATTTTATACGTTACTTGCCGTTTCTATTTGAGAACAAACTCGGAGGGGAGAGAAAGGATACTTGCTTTCATATAACAATAATAGCCGTTCACCAACCAATGCCCAAAGATAGTAAACCTGGAGCACAAGAGCGTCAAAAGAGTTTACTATTCACGAACAGTCAAAATAATCAATCGCCTTCTAGTTCTGTGAATAGTAGTCGTTATCGCAAATTTTTAATACGCGGCCGCACAACAGTGGGTGCACAGGGTTCGGTAGTAACTAATAGTGGTGCACGTGATCAGCGCGGCACGCTACGTTCATCAACACAATATGCTGCAACTAGTACTAACTTATTATCAACCGGTACAATTTGCAGTGTGTCCGTTGGCATAAATTCAAAACATCTAAAAGTGTCTGAAGTTCAACGAAAATTTCCCCTTTGGCTACCTGAGTACAAAACGAATGCCTTCAATGTTAGCTGCAATTTTTTTTTTGTTCAATATCTTTTGGCTTGTTATTTAATCAGAATATTTATTTATTTTCCTTTTTATTTTTTATGTAAATTTCTTAGGCTTCTATGGATGAAAAATATGTGGAATCCATTTGGGCAAGCTTAAAAAATGCTATTCAGGAGATTCAAAAGAAAAATAACTCTGGCCTATCGTTTGAGCAATTGTACCGCAATGCCTACAATATGGTGCTTCATAAGCACGGCAATAGATTATATTATGGATTGCGAGAAGTTGTATCCGAACATTTGGAGCACAAGGTACGCCAGGATGTGCTGGAAAGCTTGCATAACAATTTTCTTCCTAAGCTGAATCAAGCGTGGAATGATCATCAAACGTCTATGGTAATGATCCGAGATATATTGATGTACATGGATCGTGTGTATGTACAACAGCGAGAGGTCGATAATGTATACAATTTGGGGCTGATATTATTTAGAGATCAAGTAAGTATAATTTAAACAATTACATAATAATTCAGAAAGAATTGCATAAACATTAAACACTGTTTCTGTTATAGATCGTGCGATATTCGGAAATTCAAAAAGCTCTACGAGAAACTTTACTCGGCATGGTTATGGATGAGCGAAGCGGAGAAGCCATTAATCATTTAGCTATTAAAAATGCTTGTCAAATGCTTATGTCACTAGGAATAAATACAAGATCAGTTTACGAAGATGATTTTGAGAAACCATTTTTAGCACAGTCTGCGTCCTTTTATAAGTTTGAATCCCATAAATTCCTCAACGAAAATAATGCTGGCGTTTATATAAAGAAAGTTGAGGTAAAATTAATATAAAAAAGGTTTATATCACAAAGAATTTGGAATGTAATGTGATGATTTTTTCTATTTTAGACCCGCATACAAGAGGAATCTGCACGTGCGGCACTTTATTTAGATAAAGACACTGAACCTCGTATTGTAAAAGTTGTCGAAGATGAACTTATTAAGAAGCATATGCGTACCATTGTCGAAATGGAAAATTCTGGTGTGGTTTACATGATAAAAAATTCAAAAACCGAAGATCTGGCATGTACCTACAAATTATTTTCGCGTTTAAAAGAGGAAGGTCTTAAAGTAATTGCCGATACAATGTCATCATATTTGCGAGAACAGGGCCGAATACTAGTTAAAGAAGAGGAAAACGGCAATACGAATCCAATAACTTTCGTACAGAATTTGCTCGACTTGAAGGATCGTTTTGATCAATTTTTACATCATTCATTTAACAACGACCGATTATTTAAAAATGTCATTTCGGCAGACTTTGAGCATTTTCTTAATTTGAACCAGAAATCTCCGGAATATCTTTCATTATTTATTGATGACAAACTAAAGAAGGGCGGCAAAGGCGTAAGTGTTTCTTTTTTTTTAAGTTTTAGTTTTTAGCAAACCTGAATACATGAATGTGAGTATGTCTAATAACCATTTTTGAATCATTTGCAGATGAGCGAACAAGAAATAGAAACTATATTGGATAAAACTATGGTACTCTTCCGATTTCTTTTGGAGAAGGATGTTTTTGAACGTTATTACAAAACACATTTGGCCAAACGTCTGTTGCTGAATAAATCAGTCTCTGATGATTTCGAAAAGAATATGATATCAAAATTAAAGGTAATCTATTAAAAAAAAACGTTATTTTGATATGAAGTATGTACCAACATGCACGTTTTTTTTTTTTTTATTAATTTCGGTTATTTCGAGCAGACTGAGTGTGGATGTCAATTTACCTCAAAACTGGAAGGAATGTTTAAGGATATGTCTGTGTCAAATACAATTATGGAGGAATTTAAAAATTACGTAAATATACACAATCTATCACTATCGGGTGTAGAATTGACTGTAAGAATATTAACCACAGGATTTTGGCCTACTCAGGTAAGCGAGTGAAATTAATATTTACAAAATAAGTCTAAAATGTATATGCATTGCATTACAGACGGCGACACCTAACTGCAATATACCATCAGCACCACGTGAAGCATTTGAAATATTTAAGAAATTCTATTTGGATAAGCATTCAGGCAGACAGTTGACATTACAACCACAAATGGGTAAAAATTCTATTGGTTTTCTAAACCTTTCTGCTAAACAAAAATGTATTTATTTTTTACTGTGTACTAAAGTTATGGTGGCTCAATTTTCTTACTGCTTCACATCTAAATAACATGCAATTTTTTTGTTTCCGTTTCTTCAAATTTATAATATATCGGGGGACAACAAATAATCGAATAAACACATTTTTAGAACCATGTCGACAAGATTTCTAACAAATATTTATGGATTTATGATTAAAGCTACAATTTCATTTTCTTTTTCTCTTTTTTTTTTGTATTAGGTACGGCTTATATTAATGCTGTTTTCTATGGACGTAAAGCGGACAACGATAAAGATAAAGATGGTCCCACTTCAAGCATGTCATCCAGCTCAAACGGTTGCACTGTACCAGCAAGCACCCGTAAACACATACTGCAAGTGTCGACGTATCAAGTATGTATTATTTTAGCAATTTCTTTCAATTTTTCTTTTTGAATTTATGAAATGATCAACTTACATTTCAGATGTGTGTTTTAATGCTATTTAATAATCGAGACATTTTAACGTATGAGGACATACAACAGGAAACAGACATTCCCGAAAGGGAGCTAATACGTGCACTTCAGTCGTTGTCAATGGGCAAGCCGGCACAGCGATTACTTGTACGAAACTCAAAAACGAAGACAAAAGATATTGACCCTACAGATGAATTTTACGTAAATGACGCATTCGTTTCCAAATTTCACAGGTAAGTGAAGAATTTCAGAGACTTAGGGCCATTTTTTCGAGTGTCTGTTAAAATTTAACTTGTCTTCAAGCGCGTTTTCGTTTTCTCCGCTGCCTGTTTTAGTATGTGGCTGTTAAATTTAACAGGCGGTCAAAGCACTGGTTGAAAAAATTTTTTTTTTCTACATCGATATCTGTTCTGTTTACAAACGCATTTACTTATTTTCTTTTACAATAATATATACATTTAATTGAATTTTAATTATGTATTTTATATTCATGAGCTTGAGGAAAGGTTTGAAGAAACCTCTGTGCGCCATATTGCTAAGAGAAATTTAAGAGAATTTACTTTATTTACGTTTAGAACAGCTGATTTACGTTGCAATTTTCTTTCTCTTCGCCGCACTGACACCTTTAAAGTAAAGTAAATAAATGTTTAACAGCAGGAGGTCGATAAAATGAAAACGAATTTATTATATCATTAAATTTAACTGTCTGTTTTGTGATCCTCACATTAACAGGCACTCGAAACATCGGCCTTAATTCTATGACTTATTTTTCTGCAAGTTTTAGTGTGAAAAGCTTTACCATCAAAACAAATAATATTACAAAACTTTGCGGGAACTAGTTTAAACCACAGAATACTTCCATTAGAATGAGTTTTTTTTTCTAAATCTTTTAAACTGGTAAGGACGGGTTTTTCATTTTGATATAAAAAAAGAAACTTTTTCCTTAAAAGTTGTTGAAATTAAATGTTGCCCAGAGTAACACCAGCCAATTCATAAAAATCATTAATCATATGTCGATAGCGCAAGCCATTCTTTTTCGAAAAAGTAAGGTCCAATGACCCCGCCGGACCATATAGCGACATCAAATAGTTACACGTTGAGCATGGAAAGGCTTTTCGGCAATTAATCTTGGATTTTCTGAGCCACAAATGCCTTTGCTTTTGCTTATTGACGTAGCCATCGTGGTGGAAATGGTCCTCATTATTCAAGATGATTTTTCTATGAAACTTTTTTTTTTAGCGAATTTCTATAATTTGAAGCCTCTTATCGTTCCATTTTTATTACCGGCGTAGTTTTTACTTCTTATATGTCAAAAAGTTACAGCTTCAAAAGTTGCATCTACCGGAATAGCAGGCTATTCGAAATAACACCTCTTATTGGAAAACCTTTTATATACACACTTCTCATTAATATATATATATATATATATATATATATATATATGTATTCTAAAATATCATAATGTATTATTATTTCTTCACTAGAAGTTCGTTAAGATAGCTGACATTATTTTATCCTTGTGCTTAAGTTTTTTCTAAAAAATTTGTCACGAAATAACTTGAATTTTTATTTAAAAGGAACAGTAATGCTTGATTTGTTTGCATTTTACTATACGTTATATGTTTTTTTAAAGGGTCAAAATTCAAACAGTTGCCGCCAAGGGCGAGACTGAACCGGAGCGCAAGGAAACGCGCGGAAAAGTCGATGAAGATCGCAAACATGAAATTGAAGCGGCTATTGTTCGGATAATGAAAGCAAGAAAACGTTTGGCGGTAAATAAATATTTTCTACATAAATTTTATCAACTTATTGTAATATATATTTGTATATTTTTTCAGCACAATTTGCTTGTTTCTGATGTTACATCACAGCTAAAATCGCGATTCTTGCCGTCTCCTGTTTTTATTAAGAAACGAATAGAAGGCCTTATCGAAAGAGAATATTTGGCAAGAACGCCCGAAGATCGAAAAGTTTATATTTATCTGGCCTAAACTCTCATATACATACATAATTAGTTGTGCTCTAAAAGAAAAGAAAAGTAAAAAAAAAAGAAAAGCGGACAAGTATAGCAAAAAAGGGTCTTAAGCAAAGAAAAGCAATTTATTAGGACTATAGTTTTATTGCTGCATCATCATCCACATAAAATAGAAAATAGCTATTGACACTTCCTCAACTTACCTATTCGCCATATCTAATTTGCATACATTTATCGGAATTATTTCTACTACTAATTTTCATTTTTGCGCTATCAAATAGTATACATATTTATAACATTCAATGTCGCCAAACACTCGTCACATATTTACATTTATTTGTATGTAATCCCGCTTCATGAAATACTGATTTTATAACTTTCAAATAAGAAATATTTGCAGAATACAAATAATTTTCAAAAACGGCGGTTGATTATTTGTGCGAACAGCAGAAAGTTAACTTACTCGTCGATAGGCGCATGCTTTGGGAATGGATGAAAATTGAAAATAGCCATTCGGTTATGATTGTGTGACCTGGAAAAAATTATTTAATTATAAATTAATATGTATATTTAAATTATTTTTAAATTCGAGACTAAGTTTTTGGTTGAGCAATGTCCGGTTAGCCACAATTACGAATTTGAACCAACCAATAACAACGATAGCAATCTGAACAAAGAAAAAAATAACAGTAAAATTAGCAGAAAACAAAATCAAAATTTTAATTCTGTTTGGTGATTATATTTTGAAATGAGTAAATTAATAATAAAAGATATTCATGAAAATAAAATCCAATCGATTCCGAAGATACTGGCGTATATAAAAGTTATACATAATTTCAAATCGTTTTTATTGTTCGCTTTCTTTTATCTCCCATAATAGCCTGCTCTTCAAATTTATTGCACTGATTTATTTTGCTGTCGTAAATAGGACTTATTTTTGAAATGTGAAATAATTTAATGGTAATACACTTTAATATAACTAAAACAGTCTATTTTAATTATATTGTTTTAATTAAATCGCCTCTTACAAGCAAGGGACAGCTTGAGTTTTATTCTAGCTACTTATTTTTCGATAATTACTAGAAAACACTATCTGAATACCGCACGTGATCCAAAATACAATTCAATCTAGAGTTATTTAGGATCTGTGGGGTAGAGCTAACTACAAGACTTTTTGCACTTTTTACTACTCGGAATTTGCTAATATAATAATAGCTCGTATCACTTGGACTACGCTCACAAACCCAACATGTCAAGGTACGTTTTGAGAGGATTGATTATCTAGTTACATGCTTAATCTAGGAATACATAAATGGCGCTTTGAAATCGCTGTAGCGATTTTCGGCCGAACTCTCCAGCAGTTTCTGGTGTACCTCTTGATATTTTCCAACAAATGGAGCGACCGGCTGATAGTTTGTTATGAAGAAGCTTTATTTCTCGTCTGAAATACGCTCAGTGGACCGCAAATAGAAAAACTTAATATACAATTGTTGGTGTACACGCATGTTAGAGTCAAGTAAGCCTATCGAGTCTAAAGAGGCAGCTCTTGCTCGTTTGCAATTAGTAGTGTTTGGGTTCCGATCAAGCCATTCACGGGGAAAAAAGGTCTTTAACCCAATGCCATAGGAGGCATCTGGCGCTGCACAGACGCCAATCGCATACCACTCAACTAAATTGAGCAGGGATGGGCAGGCGCAAAAAAGATCAGATATCTGATCTGGATCATAAGGTGGTAAGTTCCGTTACAAACAACGAGCACTTCAGCCGTATCACTTCACTGATCATTTGAGAATTGCATTCTTGCACATATCAATGAAGAAATTAGCCAGCACCCAAAGTTGTGCAAGGATTTACGCTCCTTGCGTAAACAGTTTGAATGAGCTATTTATTCACTGACAATATGTGAGTAGCCTTGAGTACCGGTCTGCAATACGACGTGCTCAGAGATTATGTTAAATATAAAGTACGTGTAGTCAACTTCTGTGTAAGCTTTGTATTCCGAACTTAACTAGCTTGTCGAGATGTTATATGTCAGGAGTAACTCCCACGCACTGGCCTATTAAAAAGGCCCATAATCTTTGCTTGCCGGTTACAGAGGAATCTTTCTTCTGTGCCTTTCTCGGAATCAGACCCATCGGTATAAATGAAAGTTTCTTCACTTTCATCTCTAGCCTTATTTATTTTTTAACCTTCCCAAGTGGGGAGGAAGTAAGTGGCTTGCACCTGACAGAAGATTTCAGTTCGAGGTTGTTGTTGTTGTAACCGCAAAATTATTCCCCAAAACACTTTTTGGGGAATGTTGCGGGAGTGACAGTCCTTGGCCGGATAAAAATCCGGGTCGTTCCGGTATAAAGACCCGACTGTCGCGAGAACTATTGGATTTTAGTCGCCTCTTACGACAGGCATGCCTTACCGCGGGTAAATTCTTGAGCCCCTAGCCCGCAGGGGGTTTTCAGTTCGAGGTCCCACTATATGTTTAGCTCGAGTTTTTTCGACACTTCTGTATGCTGTCATGTCCGTCACAATGTATCACTTGTATTCTGATTGGGCTTCTGTTAATAATAGGTATGTTGTACCTTTTCTTCTTCAATGCACCATTTGGAATTTCAGACACCACTTTGGCACAATAGATCTTTTGCAGAAATTCCAAAATCGAAGACGATTTGCAAGTTCGACCGAAGATAGAGTGACTAGATCATCCGCCTTGCACACTTTTTAATGTTTTCAGCTGAAAGAGTTTGTTCGCCAGATCAAGATCACCCACAGTAGTGATGAAAAGATGCGCCCTTGTGTAGTGGAACAAATGCTTCCAGGGGTATTAACAACATACTCTTTGGATTATTGACAGTCTGACTCCTTCCACTCAGATAAGTCAAGAGCCACGTCACTAACTCTGCTGGTAATGGGTAATGCCTGTCGCTGGCGTTCTAGACTATCTGGTAGAAACGTACATACGCATTCGTTATGTACAGTGCGAAAAAAAAACAATCGACGGCGACTCTCTGACAGCCCTCGTCAGCGACTCGTTAGGAGGTCACTGTGGAACGGAATTTCAAGCTCCCTTTATACCGACGATATAGAAAAAATTGGTTTTGACTTGTTTGAAAAATAGCTGGTAGGTTGAGGATTACGATGGATCTCAAAACGTGTGGGATAGATACCAAGAGTAGAAGATAAAAGTGAGACACATCTACAGAAAGAAAGTGAGAGGCCGTACAGCTAGAATTTGAGGACTTGACAAACTGTTCTAAGGTGGCGTTTAACAGAGTGTTTCAAGGCCCAAAGAGGTGATCTAGCGATTGATGCCCAAAGTAAACTGAATTTACGGAACTATAATATAATATGTCTTCCTAAAGAATAATAAAGTACCGGTATCCGACGGTTTACCGGCCTAGTTACTCAAATATGGAGGAGAAAATCTGACAAGCTACAGGCATTGGTCGGACAAAAGCATGCTTAACAATTGGAATCTAAGTGTGCTCTGTCCAATTAATAAAAAAGGGAAACAGTCTCCTCAGCATCACGTACCTGTTTAAACGTCTATAACTCAAACGGGGTCAGCAAACTTACATGACCTTATTAGCTGGCAAATATACAACTTATGAAATATTCACCATGCGCGAAATCTTGAAAAATAATCGTGAGAGAAGGACCTTATCGGCGTCAGGGTCGGAAAGGACCTCTCCCTTCGATACTTAAAGAGGCTTCAGACAAGTTGAGTCGCAATCGTGAGACTTCTTTAACTTAATTCTGGAGAAAATAATATGTGCTGATGAACTAAACAGAAAAGGTAAAAATTTCTATAATAATAGCGACCAACCAACCTCTCATCGGTCTCAACAAACGCGCCTTTAGTTCTACTTTCTCTGTACAGGATAAGGGAGCATAGTGTATAGGTCTGGCAAGAAGAAATATCTTCCGCCATCAAACAAAGAGTCAGCACATTCGCCTCTTGATTACACCGTCACTGTTGATAGCCATAACTTTGATGACTATCATTGTTCCATCTGCTACGGTATTCGCCACTTATAGAGAACCATACATCTTACGCTCAATATATTGTTTTCAAAAACTCCCAAACGCCGACTCATCAAATGTTGTTATCGTCCATGCCTAGGCACCATAGAACAGAACGAAACCGATGAGCAACTTGTAGAGTTTGGTCTTCGTTTGTCGAGAGATGACCTTAATCTTCAATTGATCACTCAATACAAAATAGCCCGCGTTGACAAGAGTGATGCTGCGCTGGATATCCAAGATAGGCGAAGTTATCTACGACTTTAAAGTTATGATTATCAAAAGTGACTTGGGAGCTGAGTCGCATTTACGATGACTGTTTGTTTTATGACAGGAGATATTTCGTCTTGTGCCCGTTCACTCATGTGCTATCGTCCCTCTATGTGCTGGAGAAGGGTGAACGTTGACGATATCTCTGAGCCGGCGTTTGGGAGTTTTCGATTTCGGAGACGATGGAATGGTGAGAGTCGCTTAGTAGTCATAAACAAAAATAGTTACAAACACCCTAATGTACTTACATATGCACACACTTGGATACAATTGGATGTAGTGCGAAAGGCTACCAATGACCAGTTATAGCTCTAACAGCATTCTATATTCTCTCTATATATGTATGTATATGTGTACTGGTATTGATAAACAATAAATAAAAAAAACGAGAATTAAAATATATCTAATGCGTAAAGATATGTATAACATGTATAAATGTATGTATGTATGTACTCAGTTGCAATTAAATGCTGTTTAGTTGTGAAACGCATTGACAAATCTCAGTTAAGCTCTTAAACCGGACGGAATATCAACCCGACTTAGATTCGTGTGTCACGCGTATGTTGTGTAATCAAAAAAAAAAGAAGATATAAAAATAAAAATATAACACAAAATAAAATCTGAAATACACATGAAAACTCAAAAATCAAGAAATTAAGAATTTGTTTTTTTGGATTCCTTTGAAAAACTCAACTTCAGCAGAGACAAAAAAATAATACAAAAATAACACTTCTAATCTCCAATATCACGGTATAGCAGTTCAAATTTATCAATATGAGTCAAAATCCTAGTAAAAATCCGAATATGAGTGGGAAACTTAGAAACACTACAAATATAACGTCAAATCCAAATGCATGCCCACAAGTTCGCGGTCGTGCTGTTAACCGTCAATTCCGTTTAATATCCAGAACAGGCGCACATGAAAACGAGGAAGATGTGCCTACAAACGCACCTCCAGCAATACTAAATATTGTGGTTCCCAGTCATATTGGTAGTGAAACGTCGGTGGTGAGCTCGCGGACAAACGCTGCCGCCTTGAATGTGGTAACAAAATCTTCGCTACCGTCAGCTATATCAGATGCACGTGATTATGACTACGATTCGCAGTATCCCGAAATAGATGAATGGATCGAAAAATCTCATTCATCAATTAGATCATCGACAAAAAAGTGCCAATCGAAGACATTGAAAACTGAAAAGCACTTCTCTAAGGAAGAGACTTTAGACTCTCGACCACTAGCACCGAAATCCTGTCCACCATGTAAAAGCCCCCAACATGATGTGAACTTTTTGAAACAGCGACTTGTTCAATATCGTGCTGAAACAGAGAGCTGTGGCGATGCAGCTAAATTGAATGGACAACTGAATGAAATATTTGTGCGACGCTTGGTCGACATTGAAAATGTGGCGAAAGGCGATATGGATGTACGTATATTAGCTTATTAGCAATACATTCCCAATACACAATTCTCAAGTATGGATACAAAAACATGTGTACATGCATACATACGTGTATATATAATATTTGCTAAAAATTTAAACTGCCCAGTAGGGATCGTAAGCATCGAATATGGCAAAAGATTGTACGAACAGGTTGCTCTCTACGCATGCCAGATTGGTTAGGTCAAGTTGAACTGGCCGGCTGATATGCTGTACATCAATCGGTTGATCCTTTGCAGTGCCCGCTGAAGGTTTAGCCTAATTTAGGTTGTAGAACTTCAGAGCTTTTTGTAAATTTCAAAATTTAGCTTTGTTTCATCAATTAGTTCTATATATATAATATCTAATGATAAGGCAGGGCAGAAACAAGCTACACTGGCATCTCACCCATACGAGGTGTGACAATTAAGTAATGATACTGATTATATTGCCGCGTTTGTGGTAACCCTGCGACTTTGAAATTCCCTTTTCCTTCTCCCGGCATCCCTCTCTGCTGTGTCGTGTTGAGTAAACGTGTGTTCGTGGTGCTCGTCACGAAAATTGAAAAACGAAATCAAGAGCACCGCGTCGCGATTAAATTTTGCGCCAAATTGGGCGAAACAGCTTCGGAAATGATCGAGTTATTTTAGGCGATGAAAGCTGTTTTTTTCAATACGACCCGGAAACCAAACGCCAATTGCGAAAACGAGTCAACAGGGTGCGCCCAGATCTCGCTCATAACTGGATCCTTCATCATCACAACGCGCCGTGCCACACCGCCCTCAGCGTGTCCCAGTTTTGGTCTCTAAAGGGATCGCCGTGTTTTTTTTTTTTTTTGTTTTCTCGAACAAACTCGGTGGTCAAAGGAAGCCATTTTGAGTCTATTGCGGAGTTTCAAGCGGGCGTGACGTGATTACTCGCAGACATCTCAATCGAAACGCTCCAGAAATGTTACGAAGCATGGAAAACGCGCTGTAATCGTTGCTTAGCTGCCCAAGGGGACTACTTCTATCATATAATATGAACTAATAAATGTTTGTTGTTGTTGTAACGACTATCTAACCTCGCTTAGAAACAGGCGATATTAGTCTAAGTCATCGAAGTCAGCTAACGGGGGATCCAGGAAACGCGCTCTTCGGGCTCAGACCATGAGGTACGAACTAGTTAGTCTCGTGCGGGGTCTCATAGATAGATGGTTTATGGACGCTCCCTATACAGTTTAAGGGAAACCCAATATTTGATTGCAAGAGTTTAATAAACAGAGCCAAACGGTTTTTTATTTTGGTTTTTATTACAGGTCAAGCTGACTACTTACCAAGAATGGGTGAATCTCTTACTGCAAATAAATGAAACTATCATTGGTAATATGACAGATCTAGAGAGTGAAGTAGCAGAGCGACTGGAATGCATGAAACGGCGGATTCAATCGAGTTGCAGTCAAACAAGTAATAACGAGCAAAAATATCGCCAAGATATTTGCTCACTAATGAAGCTCCTTAAAAATGCCTATCAATATGATAATTGGGACATCCAGGGGCTTGAATTTCAAACTGTTAATCTAAACGAGATTTTGGGTACCCGAAATACGACTGTAAGTTAAATCAATTACAAAATTTTACAAATTAATTATGTTACTTACAGTGCTCTGACCCGGAACGTCCAAGGAATACGAGGGTGAGAGCAAATGCTTTTTACTAACTGTAATATAGCACATATGTAGATTAATGTCAGGACTATAGAAATATCAAAGAAAATGTAGAAGTTGATTTTTCAGATTCTAAGCCCTTTATTCTTTGCTACTTTCGAAAGTTTTTTCGGTTGTTTTGCCTGCAGTTGTTTGTTTAACGGGCTTTTTAGTTGTCCGTGATATCTCCAGTACTCTAGGTAGATCGTCTTATACATATTATATAACTTGCACTTTGTAAACGCTGAAGCGTTTTAGAGCCGAGCGCCTCTACAATTTGTGTTGTGCCTCTCGATGGCTTGCCAACAAATGTAGGGACCCCCAGCTTATTCTAGGTCGCCTCTGAAGGGTTGAAGGTTTTTTGATGAGGAATATTTTACTTCTTGTCAGAAATAGACTCAGAGGGTTAGACATTCCTTGTCGAGTGGTAATATGAGTGGAGTATAGTATGTACCAGAGGATGTAGAGACCTGGTCAACTAATATTGCTTCGGATTTACCTTTGCACAAATAATAGGTAAAGAATTTTATAAAGTTTCTCACAAATTTTTGATAAAGAATGTTAGCTACTGTTCGCAACAACAACACACAGTCAAGTGACAAGTTTACTACGTACCATTTCCAAAGAAACCATTGGTTTTCAACAATATCGACAGAAACTATGAGTAATATCGAGCTTTGATGGAAAGGAAAAAAACGTCATATTTCAACGTTCGGATCGAAGCTTTTGTGAAACCGAAGGTGGAAGTTTCCAATGCATGTACCAAAAATGTGCCGACTTACCGAAGATTTGAAGACCGACATATAGTTATGTAAGAACCAAACCTTCTTTGGTTTGCTGAACGCGCAAAGGAAATGAATCATCTGTAGGTGGTAAACCAATTATTCCCGATCGACGATGATGACCATTCCTAGATTAGCAGCCGAACTGTTTAAAGACGGCGGCTAAGAACCGACAAATGAAAATTTCGGACAAAAGCATGTCTAAAGATTGTGTCATATGTCATATGAGGTATTACCAAACATTGAGTGAAGGATTGTAACTCACCGTAAATACAGAATCTGTCACATATTTAGCGTCAAAACTTGGAAAAGACCCCTGAGCAAGGATAGGCACATACCAAAAAACGGTGTCTGAATTGGATGTCTTTGCAAAATTTAGGCTGTATAAACTAACGCTTAGCAATAGCAGAAGAGTGAATAGTGTTCAGAAGGACCTCTCTGAGCAGTTTGGTAACAAACAAGCTCTTAAACAAATTACTCTTTATGACTTTGTGAATTATTCAATCTAATGCTGGACTTAAGAGGCACTTATCCGATCTGCATGTTACCAAATGGGTGCTTAAGCAGGAAGAAGGAGAAAAAAACTTCTGCAAGAGTGTACAAATCGCCACGCTGTTCTACTTTTCCACACTGTTCTAAAGAAGCGAAGTCTGGTCAGCGCATTCTTACTACTGGTGGCATATATAATTTTCCCTTTTGCCAATTTGTGCTGCTTTGGACTAAGTAGGCGAACAAGAATCAAGTTTTACGATGAGTACGTCTTTTACGATAACACCACATCTGGTGTATCGGGATTAAGAGTTTTCGAGACAAATAAAGTGGATATGGATGAATTAAGAGATAAAAGCTCATAAAGATTTCGAAGCAGAGGAATTCTCCGATGGAAAGGGACCTTCACATGGTTGCATTCTAGTTTATTAGACTCAAACTCACTTGTAAATAAAATCTTAGTTAGGCGTTAATGTTTTCTTATGAAACTAATTTCGTAGATTACTTTCAATTGAATATATCAGGTGTGCAACTTTGCTTCCGCCGTTTTCCGATAGGTGGCTGTACCGGCTGAGGCTGGTTGAAATACATAGATGATAATGCCTTTAAAGTGAGTGTGGACAGTGCCTAACGAATTGTCATCGCCCTTTCAGTGACAGTTGTTCTTGTTTTCGTATTATTCACGCTCGCAAATGTCCGTTTATGTGCCTAATTCTCGCCATTTGCGGGAAGTTTTACTTTTCTGTTACAATTCGAAAAAAAATGCAGCTGAAGCGCATCGAATGCTCTCAGAAACTTACGGTGATGCTGCTCTGAGTGAAATAACGTGTCGGGAGTGGTTTCAACGTTTTAAAAATGGTGATTTCGATGTCGAAGACAAACATGGTGGTGGAAGAGAAAAAACCTTCAAAGATTTACTACGGGCTCTTTAAACCGGGTGAAACCATCACAGGAGATCGCTACCGAACGCAACTGATGCGCCTTAGTCACGCGCTGAAAGAAAAGCGACCACAATATTAAGAGCGACATGACAAAGTCAGCCTCCAACACGACAATGCTCGGCCTCACGTCGCAAAAGTGGTCAAAAAGTACCTGGAAACGCTGAAATGGGAAGTCTTGCCCCACCCGCCGTATCCCAGATGTCGCCCCTTCTGACTTCCACCTATTCCGTTCGATGTCAGATCAACATTTTCAATCCTTCGAAGAATTGGAAAAATGGATTGCTTCATGGATAGCGTCAAAAGAGGACTCCTTTTTTCGAGCCGGGATCCGAAAATTGCCGGAAAGATGGGAGAAAGTTGTCGCTAGCGAAGGACAATACTTTGAATAATATATCTGTAAGCACTTTTTCGCAATAAAGCTTTTAATTTTGGGAAAAAAAAACGGCGGAAGCAAAGTTGTACACATTTAGAATTCTTATGTTCGTATCTTCGTACATATGTATGTACAAAAAAGAACATATATATCATAATAAATTTATTTCTTTATTTCCAGCATGATTACTACGACGACGACCAGGAATCGCGAAATCGGGTGCGTAGACGCAGCATTTTTTAAGCATCAACACTAACATACTTGTAGTTTACTCCAATCAAGATGGAATTCATAATATTTTCGCTTCTTATTTTAATTATTGTTATTAAAACTAATTTTGTATACTTTTGTCTATCTGAAGAAGATATAAATATATACATACATACATACTATTTTTATATGCTTATTTTCAGTGTTGTCTTAATGAGCCGGAATGTGTATTGGAAAATGTGAGTGTTTCATTATTTGTTTTTTTCCCGAATCTTAAGAGAGTAAAAAATATGCACTTTCAGGTCATCTTTGAACCTCCTGATGCACGGGTGAGTGGTCTACATAAATAAATATAAACATATATCCGTATGTGTAAAAATTTCTTCATTCAATACGAGGTGTGACAATTAAGTAATGATACTGATTATATTGCCGCGTTTGTGGTAACCCTGCGACTTTGAAATTCCCTTTTCCTTCTCCCGGCATCCTTGTCCGCTCCTTTGATATATTTGCCATTGCTCTAGCTTGTTTAGCTCGCCTGCTGTGTCGTGTGTGCAGTGAACGTGTGTTCGTGGTGCTCGTCACGAAAATTCAAAAACGAAATCAAGAGCAACTCGTCGCGATTAAATTTTGCGTCAAATTGGGCGAAACAGCTTCGGAAACGTACGCTAAAATTGTAAAAGTGCATGGTGAACGCGCCCTGCCACACCGCACACAGTTTGTTCCAGTATTTGGCCTCTAAAGGGATCGCCGTGTTGCAACAACCCCCTTATTCGCCCCATATGTCACGCTGTCACGTTTTTTGTTCCCTAGAACGAAATCGGTGGTCAAAGGAACAATATTTTGCGTCGATTGAGGACACCCAGACGGCCGTGACGAGGATTCTCGCGGACATCCGAGTCGAAGCGTTCCATTATTGTTACGAGGCATGGAAAACGCGCTGGAATCGTTGTTTAGCTGCTCAAGGGAACTATTTTGAAGGGGATGGCAAAGTTGTGCAATAATTTTGAAATATACGGTTTTTATGGAATCAGTCTCATTACTTAATTGTTGTGATGTCTGAAAAACTTTGATATTTAAGCACTTTTATCCATGAAAAAAAGTTAGCCGGTTGGCAATATTATTTACGGTAATTGCATTTTAACAAGAAAAACATTTAGATCATCAAACTTTGTCCTTTGTCTGACAGTACTGGTTGGTCTTACGTCGTTCGACGATATGAACGTTAGCAGAACTGACCGGCCATTTTAAATATAAAGCGTCACTATTACGGTGCGAGGCGTTTTTTGATTGACTATTCTTAGTCGGCTGATTAAAATTTGCGAGTCCACCAAATCACGTCCATTTCTGTTTGAACGCAAACTAGTCAGTTTTTAAGAAATTTAATATAATTTAGATGGTTAGATTACACTGTCCGGCTGAGGTCTGTGGGTCTAAAGAAGCCGTTTTATAGAGAGTTAAAGCTTTTTTTAAACGCGAAGTTCAAGAAAACTTAAATATATGTATATTTTTGAAGTCTCCTCTAGCTCTTTAAAATGTGAAGTTCCTTCCCGTCGTTTGACCAACTTTTTCAGCTTTTGCCCATGATCTTGGCAGTTTTACATGTCACTAATGCATTCTATCTCAATCTGATCCGATACCCAGCTCTTTCGGAAATTTAATTATTCATCATTTTAAGCCACTTTTGTATAGCCCGTATTGGCTACAAAAAAGACGGATAGCACTTTTGGAAATCTTATAGCTATTGACGGCCGCAATAGCCGAGTAGTTAGGACTTGACCAATATCAAAAATTATGGAAAATCAAATTTTCTAACTTTGCTCAGCAAGGAATGACAAGCTCTCCGAGTGTATTTCTGACATGAAAACCAAATATCTTAAAAAAAATTTAAATTTCTTGGAAAACACAAAACGCATATCACAAATTGGAGAAGGAGCTCGGTCGAAAAATGCTTCACCGTTACAAAGTGTCAATTATATTATATATGTATATGTAGCTATTTCGTTAACCATAATAATAATAAGGCATAAAGATTTGCGCATGGCCTAAAGGTGCACTTCTTTCTCGCACGGTTTTATTACAATTGGTTTCTAAATGGTGTTTTTTTTAGGCTTGTGAGTTTCAATGACTTTTGAGGAGTTGGTTTTTTTTTTAGCAGCTGTTACTTGATTTATATTCAGTCTGGTTTGCCATATTCGCGAGCAGAATTGGCAATTCCAGCAATCAATGATGGGTTCCGCAGCACGTTTATGCTAGTGGATTATGCGCATCCTCAGATACAGTGCGTACGGAAGACGCTATTGCTGATGTGGAGCGAAGTATCCAAGAAGAGTCATCAACCTTCACACGCCACAATTGGAGGCGTGCCCATCCACTTTCTGAGAGTTTTTGTGGAATGATCTTGTTTTAAGAGCTCACAAAGTCCAAGTCATGTAAGAATTGAAGACGAACGGCCATTAAGCGCGTCCCATATTCGGTGCGTGGACTCAAAGTGAGATTGCCAACTATCCTGATTTTCACAAGAACATTTCACTTACCGTTGTAGCCCACTTAAGGTTGAATGGGTACATTATTAAACAAAATTATCGCATTTGGAATGATGCTAATCCACAAGACATTGTTGAGACGCCGGTGTATCATCAAAAAGTCACTGGACAGATCTGAGCAATCATCAGAAATGAGCCGGCCATATTGTTACAGTCAATGAATAATTCCATGCAGCCATGACTAATAAATTTTTCGTGCCTGAAGAGAATTCTCGGTGGGTGCATTGAGAATAGTAAGATTATACATATGAAGTCGCTTATTTATGCACACAAGCCCGAGATGATTGCGCGTCATTGCTGACACGCGGCAAAATATTGTCGAAAAATGGGTCTCCCAGCTGGAAATTTTTCAGCCAGCCACGGCGGACATATGCCCGAAAACATTTTTAAAACATAATGAAATAAAATTTTAACAAATGAGTTTCATATTTATATATTTATTTTTTCTTCTTGAAAACCATAAGTCCAAGAAAACACCCTTAATTAGATTAAAGTATATATGAAATGATTTCGTTCATAAAGTCTTGCTTTTCTTTTCAGTGTGGCCGAAAAGTTCAACCTACTGAAATGGTGAGTTTTCATGTAAGAATAAAATTAATATTCAACAGCGTAAATATTATATAAATTACAGACGGACTGTACCAGCAGTTGTGTTAATGATTGTAATGCCAAATGTTCGGAAGAAGTAGTAAGTAAAGTTATTTATTTTAAAAATTATGAGCACAATTAAATATTGCTTTAAAATATTCATATAGTCGCTGGAATAGGGAAGTAGTAGGAGTCCCACTTTGTCGGCCGCGTTAACCGAGTTGTTAGCATTGTATACTGACATTCGGAAAGCCAGGGTTCGAGTACTGTTCCGACCAGCATTTTAAAATTATAGAAAATGAATTTAAATAAAAAATTAAATCAAATTTTCCAATTGTCAACCTCTCCGAGGTGTGTTCAAAAAGTATCGCGAATTTTGAATTTACGCGGGTATAATCGAATTTCGATTTTTTTGTGGCGTGGACCTATTCAAAAAAGTGGATCAAAGAACCTGTATCAAATTTTGTGTGAAAAAGGAAATTAAGTGCGCGTATGCATTACGAATGTTGACTGTGGCATACGGAGAAGCTACCTTGGACCGAAGCAACGTTTATCGGTGGTACAAAATGTTCTCAGAAGGCCGAGAAGATTTAAACGACGAAGAGCGTGCCGGACGCCCGAGCACTTCAACAACAGACGAAAAAATTAATGAAGTGGAGAAAATGGTATTGGCCAATCGTCGAATCACCGTTAGAGAAGTTGCTGAGGACCTAAAAATATCGATTGGCTCGTGCCATTCGATTTTTATCAATAATTTGGGCATAAGACGGGTCGCCGCGAAATTCGTACCGAAATTGCTCAATTGCGACCAAGAACAGCATCGCATGAACATTGCTAAAGAGATGTTGGACTCTGTCCGCGACGACCCAAATTTGCTCCAGAGGGTCATAGCTGGTGATGAATCGTGGGTTTATGGTTATGACGTGGAAACCTCAATCATCTCAATGGAAGCTGCCGTACGAACCAAGACCGAAAAAAGCGCGCCAAGTTCGGTCGAATGTGAAAGTTTTGCTGACAGCTTTCTTCGATTGCAGGGGCGTGGTGCATCATGAGTTCTTGACCCAGGGTAGAACGGTCAATAAGGAATATTACCTGCAAGTTATGCGCAATTTGCGCGAAGCAATCCACTAGAAACGCCCGGATTTGTGGAAGAACAAAAATTGGTTTTTGCACCACGATAACGCCCCTGCTCACACATCGTTGCTTGTGCGCGACTTTTTGGCCAAAAACAACATACTAATGATGCCGCAGCTACCGTATTCCCCAGATCTGGCCCTCTGTGAGTTTATTCTTGTTCCCTAAACTGAAGAGGCCAATGAAAGGACGACGTTACGCTACGATTGACGAGATAAAGACGGCATCGAAGGAGAAGCTGAACAAGATAAAAAAAATATGATTTTTTGTACTGCTCCGAAGATTGGAAAAACCGTTGGCACAAGTGTATAATATTTCATGGGGATTAATTTGAAGGGAACAAAAAAGATATTCATGAATAAATAAATATTTTTTGAAAAAACACAAAATTCGCGATATTTTTGGAACACACCTCGTATTTATGACATGGAATGAAGGCTCCCAATAAAGACCATCAGGCGTTCCGAAGTGGCTTAGTATAAACTGTAAATGTGTGTACATATGTAAATATTCATATATTGCAAAAAGAAATTGAATATGTCAAAAGTGCCATAACTGTTGTAAAACTTGACATTTCTGATGGGAACATTATCTCTGTGCGAACTGATACTTCAAAGCCAACGAATGGCAAACGGATACACGAGACAACAATACAACGTGACAGGCGACGTATCATGCAATCATGTATAAGTACATATTCTTAAAATAAGGAAAACCAGTCAGAGCAGACGAATCACAATCCATTCCAGCGCTGTAACGATTTCGAAAGTGTGTGCGAAAATATACAAACGAAGAGCTACACGTATGTACGTAATCCAACATACGAATAGATGTTTTTATGTTCGCCGAATAGCCAATAAGGGGTTGAAATAAAAATATTTTTCCTTTTCAATGTGTAATTTACATGAATTTATATATATCCCGAAACTGCTTCCTTGACTACATCATCGGCGATCAATTTTTTACCAGTTAATTTTTGGAAATATGTCATCTTCACTGGGCGCCAAGTTGGAGCTGTAGGGTAGATGATCCAAAATATCAAAGCACTTCTGGATCCCAAAAGAACCGTTGCCGTGAGTTACCCAACCGATTGCGTGTGACACATTAAACTTCTTGGGAGCCCTTTTTATGCCACTGCGTGGTCGTCTTGTCTTGACTCAGGTCCATAATGGCGAACTCAAGTTCATCTACAATATAATAACAGTTCGACTCATCCTTATCTTTATTGAACAGGTCCAAAAATACACACCAAAACTCTACGCATTGTGGTGTTGTCATGAGTCTTCCCGGCATCCATTTTACGCTGACCTTAGTCATGCCAAGATGTTCGTGAAGTATTTCAAAAATGATTGTTTTGGATACCCCAACCTTTTCCAGAGTTCATCTATAATAGAGTATCGTCGGTGGTAATTTTTTCAAATTTTTGGATAAATTCTGTCGTGGTCACCTCGATGCTACTGTCGAGGCTGGGGTCATCTTCAAGGAACTCCCTTCTATGTTTAAATAAATTGTCCCAAGATTCTATGGTTTTTCACGGACAAAAGTCGTCGTAAATCAATGACATCTCATTTATTATGATCGGAACCGATTTTCCTTGCTTGTTATGGAACTTTATAACCGTACGATATTCGACTTTTTTCCTTATTTCACTCCCGATTATGTTGCTTGGTTGATGATAGCTCTAAGACCTTTTATTTCTATTAATTATTAGTCACGGAACATGTTACGATCCTAATAAACGAACATAAACACACTACCCTGTATGATATACTACCTCAGATGTTAGATGCTACTGTTTCAAAGCTTGCCTATTGGGTGGTTTCTGAGACTTGAGTAAAGTATATATATTTTATTAACACATACATATTTAAAAAATGAAGTAGGGAGGATGTCAGAGTAGTGCAGATCCTATCGCAAAATTATATATTATATATTAAAAAGCTAAGGAGTGCCCAAAGACTAAGCTTAATAAAATCTTTGTATCAATTGATTTTTTAGTTAGCTGTCCTCTTCATAATACAATATTGCGATATTCCAGCGGCGAAATGTTTATTGGTTTCTGCAACCGTTACATCCATATTTAATTATAATTTCAACGTACTTCGAAATTTTTTCAAACGCAAAAGCTTTTTTAACATTCCATCACTTTCTTACTTACTTTACTGGCGTAGACACCGCTTACGCGATTATAGCCGATTTACAACAGTGCGCCATTCGTTTCTTCTTTTGCTGTTTGGCGCCAATTGAAAATATCAAGTACAGCCAGACCCTTCTCTACCTGGTCTTTCCAACAGAGTGGAGGTCTTCCTCTTCCTCTGCTTCCACCGGCGGGTATTGCATCGAAAACTTTCAAAGCTAGAGTATTTGCATCCATACGGATCACATGACTTAGCCAGCTGCTTCTTGTACAGCTCATCGCTCCATCATCTGCGATATTCGCCGTTGCCAATGCGCAAAGGACCATGAATCTTGCGCAAAACCTTTCTCTCGAAAATCCTAGCGCCGTCTCATCGGATACTGTCATCGTTCATGCTTCCGCACCATATAGCAGGACGGGAACGATGAGGGACTTGTAGAGTTTGGTTTTCGTTCGTCGGGAGAGGACTTTACTTTTCAATTGCCTACTCAGTCCAAAGTAGCACCTGTTGGCAAGAGTGATTCTGCGTTGGATTTCCAGGCTGACGTTATTTTTGGTGTTAATGCTGGTTCCTAGATAGACGAAATTATCTACGACTTCAAAGTTAAGACTGTCAACAGTGACGTGGGAGCCAAGTCGCGAATGCGATGACTGTTTGTTGGATGACAGGAAATATTTCGTCTTGACCTCGTTCACTACCAGACCCATTCGCTTTGCTGCTTTAACAAGCCTGGAGAAAACAGAACTAACGGTAAGGTTGTTGAGGCCGATAATGTCAATATCATCGGTGTACACCAGTAATTGTACACTCTTATAAAAGATTGTCCCTTCTCTATTAAGCTCTGCAGCTCTTATTATTCTCTCCAGCATCAAATTGAAGAAATCACATGACAAAGAGTCACCCTGTTTGAAATTTCATTTGGTATCGAACGGCTCGTAGAAGTCCTTCCCAATTCTGACTGCGCTTCTGGTGTTGTCTAGCGTCAGCTTACACAGCCGTATAAGCTTTGCGGGGATACCAAATTCAGACATAGCGGCGTAAAGGCAGCTCCTTTTCGTGCCTTAAAATCGACGAAGAGGTGGTGGGTGTCGATTCTCTTTTCACGGGTCTTTTCCAAGATTTGTCTAATGTTGAATATCTGGTCAATGGTTGACTTACCAGGTCTGAAGCCACGCTGATAAGGTACAGTCAGTTTGTTGACGGTGGGCTTCAGTCTTTCATACAATACGCTCGACAGGCCCTTATAGGGGATATTACCTGACGGTAATTGGTGCAAACTATGGGGCCCCTTTTTTTAGATTGGGCAGAGCACACTTAAATTCCAATTTTCAGGCATGCTTTCGTCAAAGTAGCGGATGCATGCGCCCTGTCAGCTCTTCACCGCCATGTTTGAATTGTTCTGCCGGTTGGCCATCAGCTCTCGCCGCTTTGTTGTTTTTTAAGCGAGCGATTGCTATTCGAACTTCTTCGTGGTCAGGTAATGAAACGTCTTTTCCATAGTCATCGATTGGCTTGGGGTTCACCATCTCCGGACTCTCCATTTTCCCTACTATTCAGCAGGCTGGAGCAGTGTTTCTTCCATAAATTCAATATCCTCTGGGCATCAGTGGCTAGATCACCTCTTTGTGCCCTACTAGAGTCTGCTCCGGTCTTGAAACCTTCTGTAAGTCGTCGTATCTTCATGTAGAATTCTCGTTCGAGCATTACTCTTGTCGGCTCACTTCTCAAGCTCTTCATACTCACGCATCTCGGCCTCTTGCTTTTTTTGTCTGCAGCTGCGTTTTGCTTCCCTCTTCATCTCTCGGTATCTTTCCCATCCCGCACGTATTGTGGTCGATCGCAAGGTTGCGATACGGCAGTCCAGTCCAAAAACCAGCTGTTTTTGCGACCTTTACGAAATCCAATAGTTTCGTTTGCAGCTGTACGTGGGGAGTTGCGATGCCGTCTCACAGGTCCCGTATACCGAGTTGCTGATAGGTGCTCTCAGAGAGCAGAGCTTTGAAGAAACTGATTGACATATCGCGCTCATCTTTGGCGTAGTAGATAAGGACAATGCTATCAACTTAACAAAAAAAGTTTTGAAAAATATTCAGCGCTGGCAGTTTAAATTATAATTCCTGAAAACTTTCTCGTCTGAATATACCAGCAGTAAGTAACTAGAACGCGACTAGTCAGCGTTTTTTACTCTAAACGGTTCATCTTAGATCAGTGTTATCAATATCTTGCTGGTCCCGAGATAAAATTTTTGGTGGGAATTAATCTTTATATATTCATCATATGCTGCAATTTAATAAGGTGGATGGTAAAATGTAACACGAAACCAACACAAATGAACGATATTGAGCAATGCCAGTAAAACGGGCCGATTTGAGTAAGGTTCATCCCCACTTCATACAATTTTTTGGATATATCGTAATATATCGAAGCATAAACGTGGTTGAAGGAAAAATCCAACTTATACCAATTTTCGATTATTGTCTCTTATCCGCTCAAATCAATAGCTTAGGTCAAAACCTGAAGCGATTTTCAGCCGAGCTGCTCCGCCAATTTGTGCTAAGCGTCTTGGTATTTTTCCAACAAATGCAGTGACCTTAGGTTGATTCTAAGTCGCCTCCGAACGACTGATAGTTTTTTACGAGGGCCGACTGCAATTAGAAAAATTAATTTTCTAAAATTTGTATATGTTGGTCAACGACTTGAATTCTGATCTTCCGAACTAACAATACTAACCACTCGGCTATTATGGCTTTCCAGCTAGCGTACATTAAATTTAAATACAGGACGTAGCTCATTTATATTTTTTTTATCTCAACATCTGCTTGTAAAATAAGCTGGAATTCCTTCGTGTCCATTTTAAACTAGTATGAAATTGGTATAAAGTTTACCGAAAACTGACAATTATCATTTCTTTGAATATTCCGATGCTCAAAATATCAGTTTGCTTATAAGAAAACAGACTGTTTGCTGACCCAAACTAGTTTTCAATATCTATCTACGTTGTCCAGCACCGCTTTTCGCTATACTTACTTTAATATTCTATTATCAAATACATACTCGTATACACGACCAAAAAGATGGTAGGAAATATTTTTTTTCCTAAAAATTGCTGTTAGAAAACTTTAGATGGTACAATGTACATATGTATGCATGTTCACTTATTTAAGTATGTGTGTAAGATTTTTTTCTAATATTTTTTTTTTATTCACAGCTAGAAAAACCGTCTTGCTCTAACGTGGTGAGTTATTAATTTTATAACATTATTATATTATAATGGGTTTTCCAATAAGATATGTTATTTTAATATTCAAAGCAGCTTTTTCTTAAAAAGATCGATGAAAAAAAAAATTTATCATCTCTCGATCCATTCATTTTCGGAAAAGTGAGGTCCGCCCTACCATAAGCCGCGCCAAATAGTAACACGTTGGGAATGGCAAGGCTTTCAACAATAAATCTTAGATTTGTCATTGCCCAGGTGCGACAGCTTTGCTTATTGGCATAGCAATCGAGGTGGAAATGGTCATCACTAGTCAAGATGATTTTTCGTTGAAATTGTTATAGGGAATTTTAATGATTTCAATGCGTTGTTGAAGTGTGTCTTGTTCAATATTTATTATTGGCGTAGTTTTTACGTGTCAAATCTCAAAATAATACATCTTATTGGAAAACCCTTTTTATACACACATAGATATATTTTAGCTAAATAACACCGGTCAACAAAAAAATATTAATTTTTGTCTCTGTTCTCATATATAAATTCTGATTCTAGACATTGAAAAACACTTAAATTTTTAGTTCAAAAAATTTGCTTTTGTTTGATTTACGTCGACTAGTGCCGAAGGACAACTGACGAGTACAATTACAAAAGCAAAAAATAATAATTTCTGGTTTTTTGTGTAAGCCAAGGCAAATTTATACAAGTATATGGTAGCAAGAATACAAAAACAAAATGGCCTCGTATTTTGTTAATGTAACTATAGATTCGAAATGTCCAAAACGAAATTCGTTCCATGTATTTTATTTGAACTCGAAATGAAAGGTAGAACAAGCAATCATATGATGTGACAACTTCACCTTCTATAAATTCGCTTTGGTGAAGGCGAAACTGAAATTTACCATGTAGAACTTATAGCGAAAAATCCTGTTGACCGGTGTAAATATTGTGAAATGAATTTTAATTTGGCGTATTTTTTCAAATTTTTTTTTAGGAGATTAACACAGATTATTCCTTGGAACCACGAACTAAGGTTGTTCCATATATTTTAGCTGTACGTCTGTAAACTAAAACTTTTCTTACCACAGACCTCTTGTGTGAGTCAGGATAACAACAATGCCAATTTACGTGCTCTGGCAGTGGAAGTAGCCGCAAAACATGATGAGATATGTGACTTAAGGCGTCAAATCGCTTGTTTAGAGGATGAAATTCAAAAGGCGCAGCAAAAGATACAATTAAAGGATAATGTTATAAATCACTTACGAAACGATTTGAAATATGTCAATACTAAGGTCTCTGCCTCTAAATCACATGTGCTTCAGTTCATACTTGAGATATTCAAATTTTTGTCATTTTAACATACACATAAATACGTACATACGAGTACATATGTATGTATGAATTAAAACAAACAAAATTTTAACTCAAAAAATCTTTTCTCACTCTTTCTGTATTCATTTTCAACAAAAATCAATTCCAAAAAAAAAAAACAAAAATTTCCCTTCATATCATTTGACGTTCTGTTTGGCGTCTTTGTGTTTCAAGACAGACCGATTTTGGCTTTAAATTGTTCACTATAAATTTTTTCTATTACCATTTCAAAAGCTAACACCTAACGACGGCTCGAGCCTTTGTGGTGGATGTGGCGGTGAATTGACCGACTACAGTATGCCACCGATTAACGTAGACCATCAATCAACACCAAGCACTTCAACACAGGTCTCTGCTGGGCAGGAGTCATGCAATCAGGTGGGTCGTTATAAGCATTACATACATTTATATATATATAACGAAGTATTCATTATTATGTATATTGTTAGTTACAGTTTGTTGCCGATTGTTTAAGTAGCGCCAGTAATGTGGAGCAGCAGAAGTTAAAAGCTCTGGATGTGGAACTAAATGAACTTTTCCAAGTGACACATGAGTTCAAAAGCCAAAATCTAGAATATCATCGGAAGCGGTTATCAGACATTTTACAGAAATCGGTAAGTGCCTACATATGGACACATGCATTTAAATAAAGCATTAAATATTTCTGTTTTTGCTTTTAAATTTTTTGAATTTCTAATTAGGAAGCCGAAAAGGCAGAAGCTTATCGCAAGTTAGACTCAATACGCAAACAACTTATCAGTATTGAAATTTCAAGCGGTAAACAATCTAAAAACTCTTTTAATGACTCTGATTCGGGGTTTAGTTCAAAATGTGATAGCGATCAGGATGCAAAGATTTTGGATACTTTACGTAATCGCCTTCAAAGGTTAAAGGAAAATAATTTTGAATTGCAAGGCCGTGTACAAGCACTTAAAATCGAAAATAATGGTAATTTTGTCAAAGTTATATACATATATATTGGTGTACAACTTAATTCGCTCCCTTTTGAGTGTTCAAAAAGTGTGTTTTTTTTTATTATTCAAAAAAGTTAAATATACAACATTCAAAGCATTGTTCATCGGAAGCGAGCACTTTTTGCCATCACTCTAGTAATTATCGAATACCAACTCTAAAATATGAGTACTCCATGTCATCGATCTAAATTCAGCTATTCTTCGATTTCTTCAAAATACCCGCACCGTCGAGATAGTAAGTAATAGAAGAGGCAAAGCGTGGAGAATACGGCAGGTGTGGTAAGACCTCACACATCAGTGTTTCCTGGCGTTGTCATGTTGCAAAGTCATCTTGTCATGCCTTTCGATTGTTTCTGTCCGTTTTTCACGCAATGCACGGCTCAAACGCATTAGCTGTAGTCGATACCGTTAAGGACTGGTTTTGACAGTTCATAATAGTACATGACCCCTCCAGGACGCTCTTTGTCTTCGACGCTAAAACCACGACTTTTGAAGCGTCGAAACAACTATCTGCATGACTTATCGGCGCGTATTCACCATAAACTTCCACAAGCATTCGATGAGCTTCAGCTGTCATTTTCTTCCAATTAAAATAGAAAGTGAAAACTACACTCAAATGCTGTAATTATTGTTGAAAAATGTGAAACTTTTCCAATGAAATAGGTAATCGCTTCCAAGATCGTTCACAACTCTCTGGTGGAGGCATCTTTAGAGAGCGGATCAAATTAATTTGTACATCCAAAATTATGTTTTGTATGTTATTCTAATTGTGGAAAATTTAAAGCAGAATACCAGACATGTTTGAAAACCGAGCAGACATTTGCGCAACGAAACAGTAATACTTTAAAGGATTTGGCCGATATGCTATGCGGAATGGTAAGTTCTTGAATTTTTCCATCTTCAAATACTGACCAACTGAAACCCAAAAATATTTTTGCTTGGCGTGAAACAAAACATAAACCCACTTAGAGTTAGCTTACATAATACGAGAAGCCATCAAGCTCGCTAACAGTTTTCAAATATGTGTGATTTCTATAGAATCTCTGTGGACCACCTTAACCTCCATAATAAAAGACAGTTTACAGAAGATTTCGGTTGATTTGTTTTATAAACTCTGGGCAAAAAAAAAATCTAAGCTTTCCGACCTCAGTTCAGATCATGTAAGAGATCTTTAGAAACATACAGCTCTCTAGTTCATGTAGCCTTTTCCCGCGCGGGTATAACTGAACAAATTGTGTACTGATTCTACTCTATCAAATCTACCTATATCATAAGGTCTGTCAAACGAAAATATTCTTATCGAAGCGCCTCCAAAACGGAAATCATGTTAATTTGACACAAGTGACTTTATTTTTAAAACTCTTTTCGGTGAATTGGTAAATTGGTGTAAAGAAGAAGAAGAAACCAGCGTTGATCGATCTCCATTAACAAAAAGATACAAAGAAACTGAAAATGTCTGTGAAAATACTTTAAGGTTGTATTTTCACAGACATTTTCAGTTTCTTTGTATCTTTTTGTTAATGGAGATCGATCAACGCTGGTTTCTTCTTCTTCTTTACACCGCTTATAAGATTATAGCCAAATTAACCACAGCGCGCCATTTTTCCTTCCTTTAACTAATTGGCGCCAATTGGAAATACTCAGTATACTCGTAGCTACTTGCTCTTTCCAACGGAATCTCCGTGCAGTTCATCGTTCCATCGCCTGCCGCCATTGTCAACACTCAGAGAACAATAAATCTGACGCAAAGCTCTAATCTCATAAAGTCCGTACGCCTACATCAGATGTTGTCAGGACATGAAGGATGGGCAACTTGTAGAGATTGGCTTTGGTTTGTCGAGAGAGGACTATTCAATCGCTTACTCAGTTAAAAGTAGCCCCCGGTTGGCAAAAGTGACTCTGCGTTGTATTTTAAGGCTGACATTATTGTTTGTATTAATTCTGATTCAAAGATAGGGGAAGTGGGAGCCGAGTCGATGACCGCTAGTTTAATGACAGGAGATATTTCGTCTTGCCCTTGTTCACTTTCAGAACCATACGTTTTGATTCCTTATCCAGTTACGAGACAGCGAAACTTACGACCCGGTTGTTGAAGCCCATGAAGTCACTCCTATAGAAGATTAGCTCTGCAGCTCGTATTTTTTCAGCAGCTACATATTAAAGTCACAAAATAAGGAATTACCCTGTCTGAAACGTCGTTTGCTAGCGAACGGCTCGTAGAGGTACTTCGCGATCCGAATGGAGCTTTTGGTGTTGCTTAACGCCAATTTACATAGTATAAGATATACGGGATACGAAATTCAGGCCAAGATATATACTCGTACATAAGAAAAATGTTTCTACGTCACCCTTCTAGTGCTATAATTATTTTACTGTGATCCAAGTTAAGTACACTCTAAAAAGAATACCAAATAATTGTTTTATTTCGCTCTCAGTCAGGCGAACAATTTTGCTACAATGATATTTATAACACAAACTCAGACTCGAATCCCTTCTGCAAAGCCATCATAAAAATGAAATGCGAATACGAGGAGAAAGAACGAAAGCTAATGAATAATTTATCAATGAAATGCGAACAGGTAAGAAGTGGTTTCATTTCGAATTTTTGTAAAAATTTCTGATTTTCTCATTTTAATTTTATTAAAGCTCGCCGAACTACAGAAATCGCTACTTTGCAATGAACATGATCTGGAACAATTACACCACAGCGCTCAGTTGGTAAGTCACCATTGTTGCCATGGATACTGAAATATGTACTTAAAACACAAAATTAAAAATCGGAATAGAATACAACGATTTATTGCCTAGAGTGAGTAAAATTAATAATGAGATTCCAAGATTCACGATTTTCATGTGGTGTGTGTCGTCATTTCGACATAGCGGATAGTTTGGGTGATTTTCCGAGCATGTTAGTGGTCGCAATAGCCGAACGGTTAACATAACTTTCGAGACCTGAATGGCAGTACATAAATTAACTTTTCTAATTGCCCCTCGGCAGGGAATGTCGAGCCTTCAGAGTGTATTGCTGACATGAAAATCAAAGCTCCTTATAAAAATCTATCAGCGGTTCGGAGGCGGCTTAAAATAAATTGTAAGTTCCTCTGTTCATTCGGTCGACATAATCGTCCAGCAGAGTCGAGTTACCAAGGGACGGTTTCACAACACGTAGACTCTAGTGGATAATGCGCATCCTCAGAGGTGGTGTACCGTGCGCAACAAAGCCGCTATTGCTCAATTGTTGCTGTGGAGCAGAGTATCGTGCAATTGAAACTATGTCCATCTGCTTTATAGAAAAATTTTCGGAAGGTTTTCGGGTTACGAAATCCAACTAGTGCAAGAATTAAAACCGAAGGACGAAGGGTGAATGGGTCCAAAATGAAATGGCTATCGATCCTAATCACAAGAAAATTTTTTTTTTAGAGATGAAACGCAGTGTTGTTTAAATGGGTACGTTAATAAATGAACTTGGAGCGATGATAATCCACAAGCTCTTGTTGAGGAACCATTACATCCTCAAAACGTCACTGTTTGGTGCACTCTATGGGCAGAGGGTATCACTGATCTATATTTTATTGAAAAATATTACAGTCAATGGGGAACGCTATAGAGTCATGAGTCGAAGCGAGAATTGGACAATGTTGATGTGGACAACCTTTGGTCCTAACTAGGCAGCGCTACATGCCCTACCGCCAGCTAAACAATCAATTCATTGATCTTTGCCAGTTTTATTTAGGCGTCATCTTCAACTGAATAGCGAATCACCACACTATCCTACGTACCCATTTCAACACAAATTCATTCATTTTTTAAATTTATTTTATTTGTATTAAGTAACGAATTATATTATAATTTTTCATTCGGAACCATTTTTTTTCATTAATTATACCTTTCATGAACATGCAGTGTTATATTAACTGTGGTCTAAAGAACCATAAAGATAAGAAATATCCATCAAAATTTGTACCGATCGCGTCAGGATAACGAGTTGAGTTGATTTGAGATATTTCAACCAAATTTGGTACGCAGATATGTTTTTACATATAAACGATCATTTACCGGAACCGGCGGGTCGGACCAATATGGCATATACGAGGATATTAACAAAAGTTCGGTAACTTGGCCAGAAATAAAAGAAAAACAAGTACTCGTTGCTATTAAACATATTTCCTTTAATTTTTTTTAAATTGTTGGAAATAACCAGTAATCACAAGGTGGGAATATGGTGCTGGACGTATTTTTTGGATCCCAGAGATCCCAATAAAATTACTCGTTATTTCAGCAGTGTGGGTCGGCGCGTTGTCATGATGTAAAAAGTACCGCCACAAATACTCTTCCTGTTTTTGAACAAATTTTTGGAAAATTTGTGTAAACACTCTTCGGTGTACCATTTTCCAGTGGATTAGCAGCTACGATTTTAGATCGGGTGAAGTAAACTGGCATCATTTTTTTTTTTTTTTTATGGGTGGATTTGCTCCTGCTGAACTCCATACCATGGGTTGCTGTTTGGTTTCAGAATCGTTCTTATAGAACCAAGATTCGTCACCAGTAACGACTTTACTAAAATTGCTAGACTGACCGTTTTCGAATTTTTCTTAAGGCAAGTTTTGCAAAATGCACTCGATCCTCTTTTTTGGCCTCATTTAAAATTCGTGGTACCCATCGAATAGATTTTTTCGTGTATCCCATATTATTACTTAATACTCGCGATACAGCCATGGTATTTAAGCCCAATTCATCAGCAATCATTTCGTGGGTATGTATCAGTTTTGCACTTCCCCAGAGCTACAGTGACGTCATCATTGAACGGGGTTGTCCTCTACGGAAAAATATCCGGTTGAAATCTTCGAAAGCACTTAGAAATAGTCTTTAAAGACGGCGTAATCATTCCATATGCAATTTGGCATTGACTGAATATTTGTATTGATTGTAAAATAACCCGAAGAGAATCACATGTCGAATTTCTGTTTCCGTTGGTGATGGAATTTCGTCTGACCTATCCCCAACAATCTTGCGGACTAATAAAGTAATTGCAAAGGATTTAGTATTTTAAGATTTAACAAAAACAAATTGAAAGTCACTGACCGAACTTTTGTTAATCCCCGCCTATTTCAGGTCAGAAATGCAATCTTTTTTCCCATTATTTCTATGTGAAATTTGTATAAATAAGTAATTCACATGCATAAGAGACGCTGAAAGGAATAACGCCGAAAACATCCTCTAGCATCCTTTATGCTACGTTTGAGCATAAAAAAGGCAACAGATGGTCTCTCAAAATTTTAAAATTAAAAAAAAACTCCAGCAGAATTTGGAAAAAAAAGTTTCCAGTAAAAAAGTAGTTGAGGACCCATTGCTTATGCAACCAATATAAATGATATACTGGGACAAAGTTCCATATCTACCAATAAATATATCTATGTATGTATATGTTGATATTTATGCACATACGAGTAGCAATGCTTGTGTGAATGCATGTTTTGAAAGCGTCGAACTTCTGACATGCCAAAGCACCATTATTCGGTGGCAGTTTGATTAGAAGCGCCAAACCGGAACGGGCGAACTATCAAGTGGTGGAGTTCTGTCGTCTTCCTTACAATTTTATTTAAATGTCCTTAGCAGTCGTCGTTGAAAAATAATTCCGTTAAGTTTGTTTCGCGGAGATTTTGCTGATTTCTATAATTGTTTATATTAAAACTATTCAAAACTCATATACTCGTTTCGTTTTCTGCATTCAAAAATATATTTCATTAAAAAAGTTCAATGATGCCAATATGGTAGGCAATAGTATTATTTACACACCTGTGTGAAAAGTTATTGGTTTGACAAAAAAAAAAAAGAGAAAACAAACGGAGAAAATCGATTACTCAAAGCAATAAATATGTATATAAGTGAAGTACAATAGTTGTGCCAGTTAAAGGTTTTATACATAAATACATATGTGCATATGTAACTGTAATGTTTTTATTCCAAAACATACATAGTGTATGTACATATTATATATATATACATAAGTACACATATCAATATGTTTTCACAATTGTATTTGTTGTTGGATTTGTTAATATTCGATTTAGCAGTGACTGGATACTTAGATTCGGTATTTGGCAACGACCTATTTTGAAAAAAGCTTCAATCATATAAAAAATATTGTAAATAAAGGAAAAAATCCATTGACATACTAAATACTGAAATGAGCGCATACTTACGTGTATGTATGTATAAGGCGGGAAAAAAATTAATAAATTATATTTTTTTTTATGTGATCCCATTTATGTAGAGAAATGAGCATATTTTTTTTGAATAAACTAATTTAATTATCAATAATAAAATATCAAATTTCATGCTCGTATTTGATTTAAATAATGGAAAAAATAAAATTAAAAATTAAATGAAAAGTAAATCTAAATAAATTTCGAAAACTCAATACTACTTATGTTTATTGACATTCTTATAAATAATAATATGCTGAGCGTGTGCTTGCCACTAAACTCCTTCTAAGCGTCACTGTTGCGATTTTTTTGCAATTTGCTGTGTGTATCCAAGTGGATTCGGGACGGGTTTTAAAGTGAGAATAGACCAACCTATTCGAAAAAATCATGTTTCTGATTAAATTCACTTATATATTAGTTTTTTTTGCTTAGATTAACGAAAAAATCATATTTACTATAGATGAGTGCAATAGTTCGTGCCCGATTTCAAGTGCAAACTAAAATTGAAATTTTTTGAAGAAAGCGCTCTTATTAATCAATTATGTATTCGCCATCATGTTCGGCAATCCACTCCCAATGTTCAACCAATTTACGGACGCCTGATTCATAGAAATCACGCGGTTTCTCGTTGAAAAAGGTGTCAAGGTGTTATTTGACGTCTTCCACATTTTTAAATTTTTTTCCATTCTAATTGTTCTGCAGCCATCGAAACAAATGATAATCAGAAGGTGCAATGTCGGGTAAATATGGGGGATGCGGCATAATTTCCCAATTCATCTCCTTCAGTTTGGCCAGGGTCGGTTTTGCAACATGTGGCCTGGCGTTGTCATGATGGAAAAGAACTCCTTTGCGATTGGCCAAAATCGGACGTTTTTCATCAATTGCTTTCTTCAATTCGACCAATTGCTGACAATACTTGTTGGCAGTGATCGTTTCTCCAGCTGGCAAGAGCTCAAAATAGATCACGCCTCGGATATCCCACCAAATGCACAGCAGTACCTTCATCGGATGCAATCCACCTTTCGACATCGGTTCCGCCCCTTCGTGTGCCTGTTTCCATGTTCTTTTGCGTTGAACATTGTTGTACAGGATCCATTTTTCATCACCAGTCACGAGCCGATCCAAAAAAGGTTCGTTTTTGATCCGTCGAAGCAAAGAAATTGCTGTTGACATACGGTCCACTTTGTTTTTTTCACTCAACTGATGTGGCACCCATGTATCGAGCTTCAAAGTGTACCCAACCTTTTTTAAACGACGAAACGCAGTTGATTTGTTGACGTTCAATTCACTGGCAACCTCTTCCGTCGAAATACGTGAGTTATTCGCAACTAAAGTCCTTAGAACATCGTCATCAAGCTCAGAAGGCCGTCCACTGCGAGGTTGATCTTCGAGGTTAAAATCTCCAGAACGAAATTTCGCGAACCATTTCTTTACTGTGCGGAGTGCTGGAGCACGGTCCAAATAAACTTCGCGAATATCTTTAGTTGCAGCGCCTACTGTTTTTCCTTTGCG